CTTATAATAACATCCCAATAAATGTGACTTTAAAGTACAGGAACACATAAACACTAATTTTGAATTATGTTCATCTTGCATTTTCCTTGATGTTTGTTTTTTTTTATATAGTGGGTTTGAGTTTAGACAAACACAGAGAAAAACCTTTAAAAGCTCAAAGGACAGTCCAGGCCCAGATCAATCTTAAATATCAGATTATAGTTGTATATGTCAACTCTTCCAATCAGATAATAAACCTCAAATTGTTTTGAAGTGACTGCAAAGTTAGCATTTTTTAAAATGTTCAAACCAAAAAATCAGGGCCCCAAGGAATACTGAAATGTGGATTTTTATCATCTTGTGATCAGTGAATTCAAATAAAAACAGAACTACATGTATCAGGCTGACAGATTTGCTGGAAAGCCATGCAACACACATTAATTAACGAATGCTTCCTTCTTAAAACACAACCAAAATCTAGTTCCAGTAGCCAGTGTCGTATGAGCCATTTTCCACTGATGAGATTTAGTTGCATTCTTAGAACAGAAATAGGAAGAAATGACTGCATAGTCATAGTTCCTTCCCATGTATAATCATACTAGGTGCTTTTCTCAGGCTGGACAAATTCCACTGATCACCCAGAATTTTTTCCAAGTTCATAAAGCTGCCCATGGAAAATGCATCCTTAAAAGTCCTCTAGTTAAATGCATAAAATATGCATACTGTACATTTAGGTCATCCTGACACGAGCAAACGGGGACATCAAGTTTGCAGTCTTGTTCATTTAAAAAATGCTGCCGGAAATGTCTAATTCAGATTAACGGTAAAAAGTTTGTCTTAAGGCAGCGCAAACTCTCATTTGTGCACACCGAGCCGAAGCCTAAATTATTATTTGCTACTGCCATTGTAATAATCCAGTCATGGAGTACAAAAGAAGGGAGGAATTTGTAAGCCTGGGTCACAACTGTTTATGCACACAATGCTAAATAATGGGTCAATTATAGTAAAGCAAAATTTTGTGTCCCTGACCTGAGATGTCTCTGTTCTTGAAATGCCATTAAAAGCACTTAGGACATCAGCACAGCACTGTTCAAATGCAGAGGTAAGAACAAGAGCACCTAAGCCACAAGCTCAACCCAAACTACAGTCAGACCAAAGTTAGTAAACTACACCCTTTTTCCTTTCCCAATTTGGCCATGCACAATAGATTTATGATGGGGGCATATATGTCAAAGCTATTAAGATACAATTCTCAGATGAAAACGTAAAGCAGTTATCAACAAACTAGCAGTTCAAGGCAGGAAAAAAAAAGTCAACATTACAATACATTCAACATGCAAGTATCACATCAAACTTTTCATGTTTAATAAGTCTATGATGGTAGCTATTTCTGTGGCCACACCTTAAACTGTCTAATCTAATCTATAATAAATCACTTTGTGGCTTGGCAAACCTACTGCTGCTGTTCTCCCTGACCTACAGGTAGTCCTTGACTTATATCCACAGTCAAGCCCAAAATTTCTGTTGCTAAGCAAGTCAGTGATTAAGTGCATTTTGCCCCATTTTACAACCTTTCTCGCCACAGTTGTTAAGTAAATCACTGCGGTTATTAAGTTAGTAACACAGTTGTTAAGGGAATCTCGTTTCCCCATTGACTTTGCTGGTTAGATCATCGCAAAAACTGCTCACATGATCCCGAGACACTTCAACCATCATAAATACATGCCTGTTGCCAAGCATTTGAATTTTGAATTTGATCACGGGGATGGGTGAAAAACAGTCCTACGTCACTTTTTTCAGCGCCTTTGTAGCTTCGAACAGTCACTAAATGAACTGTTGTAAGTCGAGGACTACTTTTATATATTATTTGGAAGATAACCAGGTTGAACACCTCCCCCAGTCCACCACCTAAACTACCAGTTTATTTTGCCTTCTGCTTTCGCAATTATTTGGAGCAAGAGAAACTGAAAGTCTTGCTAAATGTCCATTATAAAATCACTGGAAGCCACTGTTCCTTAAATTTCAAGGCCAGATGCGTTGGGCTACAGAACAAGGATTTTTCAATATACAATTTTTTTAAAAAAAATAGATTTATATGCCGCCCTTCTCCGGAGACTCAGGGCGTCTTACAATGTGTTAAGCAATAGCCTTCATACTTTTGTATATTTATACAAAGTCAGTTTATTGCCCCCACAAACTGGGTCCTCATTTTACCTACCTCAAAAGGATGGAAGGCTGAGTCAACCTTGAGCCTGGTGAGATTCGAACTTACAGTAATTGCAGACAGCTGGTGTTAATCACAATGCTATCAGTCTGCTGAGCTACCAGGCCCTTTTTCCCTCCAAAAGCTCTTTAAGCCTTTCTCTTTAAGCCAGAGGTCCTCACACTTGGCAGCTTTAAGGCTTGTGGACTTCAACTCCCAGAATTCTCCAGCCAGCATAGCTTCTGGGAGTTGAAGTCCACAAGTTTTAAAGGTGCCAAGTTTGAAGACCTTTAGGCCAGGGTTTCTCATGGCTGCTTGGGGAATTCTAGGAGTCGAAGTCTACAGGCCTTAAAATTGCCAAGATTGGAAAAAAAAACACTGCTTCAGGCAAATAGCCAACACTTTCTTATTTCACTGGAGTTTTGGAAATATTTTTAATTTTAGACTTGCTTTCATTGCTTTTGCATTTTGCTGTGATACGACAGCAAGTTTAGCGTAAGCTTTTCATCAAGGGTCTAAAACTGTTTTCAAAAATCTTGTAGACCAAATGAGATATAAAACTTCTAAACACTGGAAGTTTTATATCCTATTTGGAGTCACTTGAGCAATATGAGACAGACAAAAACAAATGATAACAAATTGTTCATATTTCGCTAGCACAGAAGAAACCACATCTTCTATGTATTTCCAAGTTCACATATTTTCATTCCAAATGAAGCAGTCACTGAGACCGAAAGACCCACATATTTCAGTACTGCAATGCTACAAAAACAAAAGCATGAGTAGACCTATCAGCTAAATTGAGTAAAAGACATCGCAAACACACTTTCTAGAACACACCTTGAGGGAAGAGATAAGAGAACAAAAGAGGATACCTTATCTCCCATTTTTCCCCCTAGTTACAAAGAATGACCTTGCAAAACTGGATAAATATAAATAACCTTACAGAATGTCACCTGTTGCCAAACTGCTCCTTAATCAAGCAGAAACAAAACCGAAAATTATAGGAATGAGGAACAAAGAAAGGAAAATGGATTCAAGGAAAAGTTTTCCTTTTTCTGGAAGGGAAAAAAAAAAATCAGAGGCACCGGGAAGACAAATAAAAGAAAAGCCAGTATCCTCACAAATTTTGCAGAGATTCCCTTCCCATAACCTGAAAGCAGTTGCTCATAAAAAGGAGAGGAGGGAATGAGCAGGAAAAGAAAAGTTATATGCTTATGTAAGTACATAATCCTTTTTATCCCATTCCAACGATCTCCAAATGGAATATGAATTTCCCCAAATCCCAATTCCACAGGCTCGGACCACAATCAACAAAAGAACCCTTGTAATTCTACGATTTGCAGCAGAAGTTTTTGTAGATTATCATACTTTATCCTCCGCAGACTGATACAACGCCCTCCCACCTCCAAAAACAAATAACACATAAATACACAAATACACAAAAAAAAACACTGTTAGGTAAAAATCCACAGATTATGTTTTTTTCTACATGTGTTAATTTTTGAGTATTTAGAAGAGTCTTATCCAACAAGATAAGCAAGCACTGAGCAACAATCCTCATCAGGCAGACTTCAAAAATACACCAGGGACTACAAGGACAAAGAGTATAAACACAGGGGAAAGGACAATCTCCCATAATTTCTTCTCCCTTTGGGTGCAACCATAGTGTAGATCATATATCTCTGCCAAACAATGAAAGGTAACACACCCATGCCACCAAGCTGACGGCCCAGCAATCCCCACCCCTACCCCACACACACTCTTCCCACCCCTTGGTCATCAGGATCGGGGGTTAACTCTTTAGGATGTCCTGAGATGTCCCCACACCTTTCCATCTGTTGCAACAGGGCGGGTCCCTCAAACATCTGGAGCCTTCAAGACCATTTCACAACCTTGGGGAGAGGGTGGTGGTGGTGTAGACCCAAAGTTGAAAGCAAGGAAGGGGGAGAAATGACCCGGTGTCCTTCCCCCTTCCAAGCAGACGCCCTCTGGATACCTTGAACCCCCAGTACCCATCATCCCCATCTTCCACACACATGTGTACACCGTACCGCGCCCCCCCCATGGGCTGGTAGGCTTCAGATGTTCTCTAGGAAATAAGGTAAACAGAGGTAGGGCACAAAAGGTCGGTGCCACATCTGGAAGCCGCCATCCAGGGGTTCCTTGGGGAGGGGGAGAAAAGACCTGGTGTCCTTCCCCCTTCCAAGCAGGCGCCCTCTGGATACCTTGAACCCCCAGTACCCATCATCCCCATCCTCCATACACACACACACACATGGATACACCGTCACATCCCCCCCACGGGCTGGTAGGCTCCAGATGTTCCCTAGGAAATAAGGTAAACAGAGGCAGGGGCACAAAAGGTCGGTGCCACATCTGGAAGCCGCCATCCAGGGGTTCTTTGGAGAGGGGGAGAAAAGACCCGGTGTCCTTTCCCCCTTCCAAGCAGGCGCTCTCTGGATACCTTGAATCCCCAGTACCCATCATCCCCATCTTCCACACACACACACACACACACACACACGGATACACCGTACCCCCCACGGGCTGGTAGGCTCCAGATGTTCCCTAGGAAATAAGGTAAACAGAGGCAGGGGACAAAAGGTCGGTGCCACATCTGGAAGCCGCCATCCAGGGGTTCTTTGGGGAGGGGGAGACCACCAAAGAGGGGAGACAAACCTCCCCTCCCCCGCAGACAACCCCTCCCTCCCCCCAAAAAAACCCCATCTGGGACACCCCCTCCCCAGAGGCCGGCCTCCCCTTGCAGGGCAGGGGTCTCTGACCCCGGAGGGAGGGGGGGGCTGGGGATACCCACCACCTGGGCGATCTTCAGGCGGCCGGGGGTACCGCGCAGGTAGTCGCGGTCGCAGCGGAGGCCGCGCAGCCCGTGGCGCTGGCTGACGGGCTCGGTGGTGGGCTGGTAGGGGCTGCTGGCGCCGGAGATCATGGAGGTGCTGGACGCCTCGCCGTCGAAGCCCTCCAGGTCCTCGGGGCTCCTCATGGCGGCCCGGGAGCCTCGCTTCACGCCGAGGAAGAAGAAGAGGAAGAAGAAGGCGCAGCAAGCAGCAGCAGCGACGGCGGCATGTCGGTCCGCGGAGCGAGGCGGACCGCCCCGGCCTCAGCTCCGGCCCCGGCCTCTGGTCCCGCCCCGTCGGCCTGCCTCCCCGGCGACGCCTCGCCCTCGCCCGCTGCTCCTCCCGCTCGGCGGCGACGGAAGAAGGGAAGGGAGGCAGGCCTGGAGGGGAGGGAGGGAGGGAAGAAGGGAGGCGGGGAAGGAGGCAGCCTGAGGGGGCTCCCGCCGACGACGACCCCCGCCGGGCAGGGGGAACGGGCGGAGGGCCGCCGTTCAATAGGTTAGAGCCGTGGGGAAGAGGGTCCTCAGGGGGAAGGGGCGCACGACCCCGGTTAGCCGGGAAGCCCTTTCGCCTTCCCTCCCTCCCCACGCGCCCACCAACCCACCCACGGGGAATAATAATAATAATAATAATAATAATAATAATAATTTTATTTCTATAAAAGGTCGAGCGACCCCAGACTCCAACCCTGGAAGCAGGGTCAGGAGGAGTTTCCACCCTTATATTAATTTAGACTAGAAGAAGGGGTCCTTGGAGGTCTTCTAGTCCAACCCCCTGCTTAGGGAGGAAACCCGACACCGCTTCAGACAAAATGGTTGTCCAATCTCTTCTTTATAAAAACTTCCAGTGCTGGAGCATTCACAACTTCTGGTGGCAAGTCGTTCCACTGGTTAATTGTTCTAACGGTCAGGGAATTTCTCCTTAGTTCTAGGTTGCTTCTCTCCTTGATTTTTTTTTTTAAAAATTTGATTTATATGCCGCCCTTCTCCAGAGACTCAGGGCGGCTTACAATGCGTTAAGCAATAGCCTTCATACTTTTGTATATTTTATACAAAGTCAGTTTATTGCCCCCGCAAATTAGTTTCCACCCATTGCTTCTTGTCCTGCCCTCAGGTGCTTTGGAGAATAGCTTGACTCCCTCTTCTTTGGGGCAGCCCCTGAGATATCAGAAGACTGCTATCATGTCTCCCCTAGTCCTTCTTTTCATTAAACTAGACATACCCAGTTCCATCAACCCTTCTTCAGTCCCCTAATCAACTTTGTTGCTCTTCTCTGCACTCTTTCTAGAGTCTCCACATCTTTTTTACATCGTGGCAATCAAAACTGGATGCCGTATTCCAAGTGTGGCCTTACCACGTCATTATAAAGCGGTATTAACACTTCACGTGATCTTGATTCTATCCCTCTGTTTATGCAGCTGTCAGGAAATTTCCTCTTTTTTAAATATATATATATATATATATATATATATATATATATATATATAATTTTTTAATTTGCAACCCACCTGTTGTTATTTTTACAAGGAACTCGAGGCGGGGAACATCTCTCCCCCCCACTTTCCTCCTCCTTATTTTCTCCATAATAACAACAACCCTGCAAGGTTGGGCTAAGAGAGAATGACTGGCCCAAGCTCACCCAGCTGTTTTCATGGCTAAGGCAGGGCTTGAACTTTTGCAGTCTCCTGCTTTCTAGTCTGGTGCCTTAACCACTGGACCAAATATTATCAGACGTTGATTCAAATAGTACATTATGTGCCATACCTCTTGGCAACCGCAGAGATTTCCTCTAAAAAGTGTGATATAATAATAATAATATCCCCCCCCTGTGGTGGAGGATCTTGCAATGTTTTGATGAGGCTGAGGGCTATGCTACCATGTACAGGTAGTCCTTGACTTACAACCACAATTGAGCCCAACATTTCTGTTGCTAAGTGGGTTTTGCCCCATTTTACTTTTCTTGCCGTAGTTACTAAGTCAGGGGTCTGCAACCTTAAACACTCAAAGAGCCATTTGGACCCGTTTCCCAAAGAAAACACCGGGAGCCACAAAATCTGGGTGGGCATGGCCAACTCCATGTCACTCACTTCCACCAGTCACATGATTCCCTCTGTATTTTTCTATGTCTCTCTCTTTCCCCCTCTCTCTGTATCTCTCTGTCTCTGCCCCAGCCGCTTCTCCATCACTCGCTGTCGCCCTTACCTTTTCAGGCCAGGCGAGGAGTGACTGGGAGAGGAGGGCGAAGGGCGGGCCCAGCCAGTGGTGGGATCACCCAACAGGGAGCCACAGCAGAGGGCCCAAAGAGCCGCATCCGGCTCTGGAGCCACAGGTTGCTGACACCTGTACTGAGTGAATCACTGCAGCAGATAAGTTAGTAACCTGGTTAAGTGAATCTGGCTTCCCCATTGACTTTGCTTGTCAGAAGGTTGCAAAAGGAGATCACGTGACTCCTGGACGTTGCAACCATCATAAATGCGAGCATCTGAATGTAAACTGCATGACTATAGGGATGCTGAAAAGGTGGTAACTATGAAAAATGGTCATAAATCCCATTTTTCAGTGCTGTTGTAACTTTGAACGGTCGCTAAATGAACTGTCGTAAGTCGAGGACTACCTACACTTTCCCAGAAGGATCACTCATGCCAGGCAGGTCTTAGTGGAAGAGCCTGGATAAGGTAGTCCTTGACTTACAACCACAAATTGGGAGCACAAATTCCATTGTTGAGCAAGGCAGTTAAATGAGTTGTGCACAATTTTGACTATCCTTTTTGCCACAATTAAGTAAATCACTGCAGTGAAATGGATCATTTGGTTGTTAAGTGAATCCGCCTTCCCCCATGGACTTGGCTTGTCATAAGCCGGCTGAGAAGGTTGCATATGGCAACCAGCTCGCAACTGTCATAAATACATGCCGTTTGCCATGTTGATCATGTGACGATGAGGCTGCTGTAACTGTTGTACTTTAGTGTTTTTGTAACTTTGAATGTTCACTAAATAAATAATTGTATCTATCAGCCCCTTTAATAGGAGCATCTTAAAGAAGATGGAAAAACCCTAACCATGTAAGGCTACTGGAAGAACAAACACAGCCAAAAGTACACGTATGTTTCAAAATTGTGCCATGATGGCCTAATATGAGCAAAGTTAAAATATTGTGGGATTTCCAAATACAAACTGAAAAAGGCTTGACTCATAACATACCATATATAATTGTGGTTGAAAAGGAGGAAGTACGGTTAATTGATGTGGCAATATCATGGGATAGGACGACAGAGGACAAAAAACTGGAGGAGATCAAAAAATATCAAGATCTGAATATAGAAGTTGAAAGATTATGGCATAAATTGTGCCAGTGGTTATGGGCACACACTGGGAGCCGTACTGAAACATTTTGGGCAGCTCTTAGAAAATCAGGGAATTGACAACATTTCTTCCTGTCAATTGCAAAAGGCCATACTACTCGGATTTGCATATGTGTGTGTGTGTATTACTCCGTTATGACATCCTAGGTCAGTGATGGCTAACCTTTTTGCCATTGTGCGCCAGGAGGGATGGGGGGGGTCAGGCGCGCACATGCCAACACCCTTAATTCTGTGTCCTGTGCACACGCCCCCCGTTCCTGGCACGTGATGGCCCAGTGGGCCCATTTTTCTCTCTCCTCAGGCTCCAGAGCCTTTCTAGGAATCTGGGGAGGGCAAAAACTGCCTTCCACACCTCCCTGGAGGCCCTCCGGAGGCCAAAAACGGCCTGTTTACCAACTTCCGGTCCCACCGGTCCCTACTGGCGGGCCCAGAAGGCCTGAAAATCTGTTGGCTGGTGCTGGAGCTCAGCTCACGTGCCCACCGATATGGCTACGTGTGCCACAGGTTCGCCATCACGGTCCTAGGTTCTTGGGAAGAAATCGATGCATTTGAAGGCCTACATCAGTTTAAAAAAACCTGGCAGCTGTGACTTCAAATTGTTGTGAACTAGTAGTAATAATAAATTGTGTGTCAAGTCCTTGCCTCTTAGCAACCTATTCCAGCGGTCTTGTGGACTTCAACTTCTAGAATTCCTCAGCCAGTCATGCTGGGAAATTCTGGGAGTTGAAGTCCACAAGTCTTAAAGTTGCCAAGGTTGGAAACCGACTTATTCTCCTTGTCAACCACCATGATCAGTGTCACATTCACTGTTCTGGTCTTAGATATATTTCCCTTTTTTCTCTCCCACAAAAGTTTAGATAAGAATATAAGAGCTATGTATGGGCTGCTAGTAAAATAACTTTGTTTTTCCTTTAAAGCAGAGGTCCCCAAACTTGGAAATCTACAAAAATAACTCTTGCAGCTGGATGTTTAAATGAGATGAAAGCAAGTAAGTGATGCGAGGCTAAGGAAAAAAAAAAGCTATCACTTCACAGGGATTGTAAAAAAGGCACAATTTAAAGAACTTCCTTAGCTCTTTTCTCTGGTCCTTCAATGTTCATTAAGGCCATTTGTATTAAATTGCAGAAGAAATTTCACTACTCACTTTTAATGGCCATAATTCTGCTTTTGATTATGTTAACCACTTAAAGTGCTTTCAAAGAAAAAAAAAAGGAAGACAAAACATTAGAAACAATATTGAAAAAGGCCTCAAACCCTTAATTAGTTAATTAAAAAGAAAGATGTGGAATTTTTGTTTGGGGGATTTCTGTACTTTTTTATATATATATACGTACATAGCTATATTCCTTGATGTATTTCTGTATTATATTTTAAAATAATATTTACTTATTTAATATCCTTAATAAAATTACTGCAAAAAAGCTTCCTATATTTTTACAATATATTAGATTTCATTGTCAAACATTAAAATACAAACTAACATTAAAAGGGAAAAAGGGGTAACAAAAAATAATTTAAAAATGACCCTCCCAAAAAAAAAACCCTTGTGTTTCTGAAACGAGATTACAAGCCAGGATTTTTTGGGTGTGTGTGTGTGTTGTTTTGCATCAATGAAAATGAATGGACCTATTCATTCTGCATGCTGGGCCCAAAATTTATGAGAAATGGGATTGTATTCACAAGATGGGAGGCATCTTATAAAGATCTTTCTAAGCATTTCGGTCTTCCCGGTAAATTCACCACAAAGAGAAACAACAAACGACTTTTAGATGCTAAAAGGAAGATAAAGCTATAATACAATCAGTTCATTCGCCTAGTGTGATTAGTTCTGAATACAGTAAACATACACAGAAAGGTGAAACTGGTTGAGGAACTGTTTTCACCTCTTATCTCAGTGTGGTTTGAAAGCCAACTGGTTGGGCCCTTTCCAGGAATCAGCTCACGTGTCACACTTATTTTTTCCCCTGAGAAACTGGATTAGTTTCTCTTTCTTACTGCCTTCCCGTGGTAATGGCTAATTATTATTTTTTTTAAAGTCAGCCCTTTGACTCAATTTGCAATTTAACTCTTCTTACTGAGAGCGCATTTTAGCAGGCACAACGTTCACTATCAATTTCCGTGTTAGATTTTATCATCTTCCATCTTAGAAACTGGATGCCGAAGGTTTTGTTACCTTTTGCTTTCGGTTTAAATCACAAGCCACCTTACAAAGCGGTGCCCCAAAGTAGCACAAAGCAGCTCCATCCGTAACAGTCTTACGAGACTGGGGTGAGGGAGGATATGGTAGCACAGTCTAATCATGCGACAGCGTTTCTCCAACTTGGCAGCTTTTAAGATGCGTGGACTTCAACCGATTGAACATGAAGAGATGTTCCAAATATTGCTCAGCGCCCTGACAATATTGGGCCAGTATTGCCATCAAACGTCTCCAAATGCACAGAACAAGCTACAGCATAAGAGACATACTCAATTCGGCAAAATAGAGCAGGTCACGTTTTGTTGTGGTTTTATTGATTTGATTTATACCCAAACCCACGTGACTCTGGCAGCTCAATGAAATAACAAAAGAAAAAAGTTACTAATAAACCTAAACTTTAAAAAGCGTTTTAAAAAAAACCAATTAAAAGTGTTTTAAAACCATTTTTACCATTCTTTGTTTGGGCTTGGACTTCCTATTCTAGGGAGCTGTATGTTTTATCAATTTACGTTCAGTTTTGTTCTTGAAAAACAATTTGCAACACTCCAGTGCAATGACGTTTGAAATGCTGCTCCAATAAAAGATGGTTTATGCTGCTAATGACTGCGATGGCTTCTCGTTACCGCATCTTGATTCGAATAAACCATCTTCTCTTTAAATGCACAGCCTCTTTGAACAGATTCTTTCCCCCACAGCTTGCTTTAAAATACCCTGCAGAGAACATGAGGAACTAACTTGCAATTGATAAGTGAATCTGGAATATCGACTGTATATTATGAATGGCCCCTCAAACGGGGGAAGAAAATAGGACTACTTAGAATGAGTGAGTGGGCGGCTAGTGACAAAACAAGAATTATTTGGATGATAATCTGTCAAAAAAAAGGACCAGATTACAGATACTTACTATTCTTATTTTCTAAGGAGATTTTAAAGACTTCAGAGCTATTCTAGGGAGTGTGTTGATGGATCTTTACCAAAATGTACCGTATATGCTGCCTACTCTTCAAATTCTGGCAGTTTACAGCATTTGAGTAAAACATTAATAGAACCATAAAATACATCCATTACATCAACAAATGATGAAGCTACAAACTCATAGGTCTGTAAGTTAAATCCAAATGCTCCCTTAGGAGTATTTTTATCACTTTGCAAAAAACCACCTGGTGCAGCTAAATGGGAGGCAGAGGGCTACTACTGAAAAGGTTAATCCAGTATCCAGGTCTGAGCCTCCAGTGTCTTTCAGCGAGGGCCTCTGAAATATCCTATCCCTATTATAGAATCACTCTGTTGGGATGGATCTTGAAAACGGACATCTGGAAGATAACACTCTAAGGCATTGTTTTTCAACCTTGGAAGCTTGAAGATGGGTGGACTTCAACTCCCAGAATCCCCCAGCCAGCGCTGCTGGCTGGGGGATTCTGGGAGTTTGAAGTCCACCCATCTTCAAACTACCAAGGTTGAGACACACTGCTCTAAGGGCCCCTTAAGTTCCATGCAATATAGCAATTCATTGCATTCATTTTACTTAGAAAAATATCCCAAAATAGTCACTGATGCCCATCCAAGAAAGTATAGGATTTTTTCTACATTTTAGAAGATTATGAAGCTATCACTCACCAAGCGAGGTTCGGCCCATTATAGGCCTGCAGCTTGCAATTTCTCAAGAAACCTGCATGACTGTCCCATTTTTTTGGTCTATTTTAAAAGTTGGAAATGGGATCAGGGAGATCTGTAGGAATAGTTACCATTCTCATTTTCAAACCCTCCAAGACATGAATTAATGCACTTGAAAACTAGCAACAATAGTTGTGCACTTTTTTGTGGGGGATGGGGATTTTAAGAGTGGACACTTTTAGTATCCTTAGTCAGGGAGGGGGAATCATGGCTGAAAACTAGTCATTCATTTGACTAAAGGATTTCAGTGATGGGGGTTCATGTCAACTTCATACTGCCCCTCCCTGGTATGCTGAACGATTCTGCCCCTCTAGGATTTCAGACAGTATGTTCTCAGTTTGGGGGACCACATCATCTGCATACTGCCCTTCCCTGGTATGCGGAATGAGTCTGCCTTTCTAGGATTTCAGACAGTATTTTCTCAGTCGTTCGGCTGCTTAGTTACAGTCCTTTCTACGTTCTCAGCAAACAGGTAAGAAAATTTACCCGCTCGAAGAAAAAAGCTGATCATCTCTATATTTAGAGTTCAAAACTTCATTTGCTTCAATTTATCATTCTTCAAAACGGCCCACCTTGCCAAAAGAAAAAAGAAAAGGTGACTCCACACAGGTAAATCGTCTTGGTTGGTGTTTATTTGAAGCCGTTAAAGACATGTCCTCATTTTCGCCAGCACTAGAAAGCAAGGTTCCACAGGACTGCACCTGGTTAAAGCCATACAACTGGACTAAGGGTTGTGCTGGATACATCTGCAGTCTCCATTGAAAAGTTAAAAACATCGATAAACTGAATACAGGAGAGAGAACTTTCATTTACAGCATGGGTATGGTTAAGTTCAGTCACTTTCAATGTGTTAAATTAAATACGTACGTACAAGTTCTGTTTAAACGAGTTTTAAAATGCCAATAGAAGTGCAAACTTAAAAATCAAGCAGCATAAAACAAGAATTTTGGATGGCGGGCCAATCCTTAACTGATTTATATTTGCCTTATCTTCAAGTCCAATATATTATTACTTTACTTTAAACGTGAACAGCAGATGCAATTATTATATGCAATATAAATAGAGCCAGGTAGTAATTCTAACAGTCTTCCATAAAAGTGAATCCTGAAAAAAATCTTAATGGTAGTTTTAAACATAAAGGCTGTTTTGCATTTGGCCTTTAGTTCTAATGCTTGAGAACACCAGAAAAGACAATGGTGCAGCTTTCCAAAGTTGCTAGACTTTGGCAACTGACAAACATCACATCACTTACAGTTTCCTTCTTTTGAAAAAACTAGGAGCATTCACTTGCAAAGTGGAAGAATAGGAGGGTGGGGGGACATTCCAAATTCTGTTTGAGTCCCAATGATCTTTTGTAGAACTGGAAAGTCATATGCTATTGACCCTTTTTTGTTTTGCAAATCCAAGGTTCATTTTATGCAAATTTTTTAAAAAATCCTGTTGTCTACAGCTTTCAAAAAAAAAAAAAAAAAGTAAATTATCTTGGTGCATGACAAAATGTTTAATAAGACCAGTTGGGCCTCGAGACCTAACTAGCGCTCTCTTAGAACAGCAGCAAATAATTTGTTATGTTTTCCCCAAACCCAGTTTGATTTTAAGGTTTTATTCTCCAGAATTCCATGAAATCATCCGGCTGCCATAATCATCCTTCGGAACGGCCAACCCATCAAAAACAACCCCATAGCTGTTGCACTCCCATCTGTTTAGATCCAAGCATAAATTCAATCATCTCAAAACACTCACTGGTTCTACGTGTATAAATGGCACCAAACTGTAGTTACTGAATAGGGTATATAGGTTACTTAAAAGGCGCTGCCATGAGGACAGTTAGAGTTACGACTATTGGGATGGCATGAGGCTAATTTTACAATATAGCACAGGGGTCTCCAACCTTGGCAACTTTAAGACTTGTGGACTTCAACTCCCAGAGTTCCTCAGCCAGTTTTAATTTGCTGGCTGAGGAACTCTAGGAGTTGAAATCCACAAGTCTTAAAGTTGCCAAGGTTGGAGATCCCTGATATAACAAAGCCTACGCTGGCTTGTAATGGCAGCCAAAACACAGCAAATTCCCTGATCACAACTTCTCAGTTTAAGAGCCAGGTAATGTTGGGCAAAACTGAGTTTTATAATGTAGTTGAACATGTATTTTTTTTTAAAAAAAAATGTAACTGACATAAGTAAACATACTTTTTGTTAATGCAAGTAAATACTCTTAGTTTTCTAGCTAGCATTAGACAGACTTACAAAAACGAAGAGAAATGGCCTCTCTCTCTAACAACACGTGGGTTGCAATTACATCCAGTAATGTGTTAGTGGTCAATTTATTTCATATATATAACAATATATATAGATATAGGTATATAAATATTAGGGTGGTTCTATTCGGAAACAAGATTTTAACGTAACACAAAAACCTTTTTATCAATACAAAGTAAACTCTGCATAATCCATGGTGGTATATCCCTCCAATGTGTTGCTTACAAACAAGTTTGGTACAAATAAGTTATTGTTTCTCTGTCAAATAAATTGTACAGAAACTCAAAAGTGCCATTTCGGTTAACTGTGGGAGTCTTACTCCAAGTGGCTAAGGGAACTCATCTGAGCAGCAACGGGCCAACCGTCAAAATCATTTCCACATTGAAAAGGCAACACCGAAGGGGTAAAGCACAAATGTAATGAAGTCACGTAAGTCTGCATTTTTTTTTCTTCTGCGTATACCTACAACCCTTTGTTAAAATCCAATCCGGAACAAGAATTCTGGAGGCTACCCCAAACTCACCATAGGGGTTTTTAAAGCCTTAAGGCAGAAAATCAGTGTTGACCTTTGCAATTAACTCTTGGATACAAAAGAAAGATTTGCGTTTCCATTTCATTACAGAGAAATGACATGTCCCTCATTCCTCTTTAACAGGCCAGATGGTTGGTATTGAAAAAAGAAAAGAAAAAGAAAAAGTTATCAGGGGGAGAAAAAAAAAAAAGGATGCAAAATCTCAACCCAGCTATCAAAGTTACCGGGTTAAAATAAAATTAAAAAAAAATAATAAAATTAAACAGACACTGTTTGTACAATAGTGCACAAGAGGTTCAAGCACCTTCGAGAAGACACATCTCACACTGTGCCAGGCACTTGGTCTGAACAAGTTTCTCCCCGTGTCAGTTATGACAAAAAGAGCACCCACCATATTTTATGTATCTTCTTATTAGAACTGGAAAAAAAAATGCCATTGGAATAGTTCCCATGATGCTCGTATTTTCTGTTTCCCAATTGCAAAGGCATTTTTATTTTATTTTTATTTTTCCCGACATGATTATCTGATTTACATCCAACGTGCTTTTTCGCTTCTATTGATCAGGTCTTGCCTTTATCCGTTCAAAACACTGCATTTTGCACACACTCATCATCCAACCAACATTCTGCTACATTGCACCCTCTACAAACACAAGTACGCATTTTCATGGCCAACTCCGGTTAACTTGGAAAAAAAAAAAACAGAGAGAGAGGACTTGGCGCTTCCTCCGTGCCAGCAGCAGCTCGTGGCTTTTCAGCAGGAACTCCACCTCTTGCTTCTGTGCGCTTCTCCCTATTGCTTGCAACCAAATTAAGAGAAATGCCCTATTTAAACTCTAAAATGGTTATCGTAAAACAGAGGAAATTTAGACGCAAAACTTCCTGAATGTGCACTTGACACCGGGACAAGCCAATGAAGGTTAAATTTCATTTCCCCAAGAAAAAACTGATAGCATCTGCCACATCAGCTCCTGGTGTTATCAGGTCAATGTACATCACTATTTGGTCATTTACATATGGAGGTTCAAGGATTCTCAAGCTTCGTTCTCTGTCAGAGAGGAGTTGGTTGTTACTACCGAGTCTGGCTTGCGAGACATTCTATCCAGCTCCTCTTGGACATTCGTCAAAACAGGTTTTTGCCCTATAAAAAAAGGAAGGCACAGTATACGTATGCAGAAAATCAACTAAAAACCAGGATGGATAAAAATCGATGATTTTTTTTTTTTTTAGAAATTTTTTTTAAAAAATCTGATTTTTTAAAAATTTAAATCGGATTTTTTAAATCAAATTTATTTTAATAAAATGCTTTTGGAGTAAAAAATCTATCTAAAGCTAGTTTTCTATTTAAGATACAATTAATTATTTACTTTATTCAGCATGAAATGGAGCTTAGTTAGGTAGCATGAGGCTGTATATTCTGCAATATTTACATTTTTGGTAAACTCAGTTCAATGAATCCAAGCTCTGCAAGCTTAAATAGGAAACCTTCATTTTGTTTGCAAATAATATCAAAGATTCTAACGACCAGCAAGAATGAGTCCTTACATTTAAAGAGCACCTGTCATTTCAGATCCATCATGGCAGCGTCTGTTAGTGGGCGTCCACTCACCTGCTGCCCACCACATCCCTCACCTGATTAGGTCACTGCCGCATCACCAGCCATCCCATTAAAGTGAATGGGACTGTCGGTGAGTCAACAGCGGGTCAGAGGAGGGTTGACAGAGATGACAGGTGCTCTTTAAAGATTATGATTTAAATCGAGTTGATTTAAATCAAGCCTTTTTACTAGTGATTTAAATCATGATTTAAATCGACTTGATTTGAATTAAATCCACCCTGATTAAAACCACAGATTACAAAGTACTGCATGTAAATGGGCCCGATTAAATTACGGAGAAACGGCTTCTTTTGGACAGTACCTGATTTTTTGCCGGTGCTTTGCACGCCTCCTCCTGCACCAGGGCTCCCGGGAGAACCTGTCTTTTTACTCAAGAGGCTGTTGAAGAAACTGGCTAGCACTCCTTCGCTTGCAGCATTGTCTAAGGAGGAAGAGGCAAACACTGAAAATGGGCAAAAGTGGGATACTGACCCTTAAAAGAAATTGACTTTCAAAACAGAAGCTGAGAAATAAAAGAAGAAAACCACGACACTGGTATCTTTCTGATGTCAAAGGTTATTATATGGAAAAATTTGTCTGAAGGCAAATAGACGTATCCCAGAATGATGTTACAGCAGGTCCCAATCTGGGTCAGTCATCGGGACCGGAATGTTACATTCTGCTAGAGCAGTGTTTGTCAACCTTGGTAGCTTGAAGATGAGTGGACTTCAACTCCCAGAATCCCCCAGCCAGCACTGCTTCCATCTTCACGCTTCCAAGGTTGAGAAACACTGTGCTAGAGTGAAGTTCCCTGAGGATGTGCCCCTGAGCTCGAGTCCAAAACCTTGGAAGACTAAAACCTCTGGTCTTGGTGACCGACCCAGATTGGACCCCGCAAAATGGTGTATCTGTGTATTCAACTGACAATGATCTTGTTACCCATTTTCCCATTTCATTGCAACATCCTTTTCTTTTTGCATGAGAGCGACTTCTTGCAGAAAAGTGCATGATGCAACAAGGGAGTTATTCTCACAAGGCCCCAATGCTGCTTTGGGCTAAGAAGGGCATAACTGGTCCAAGATCACCCAGATGGCTTCCAGGCCTAAGGGAGATCTAGAACCTGGTTCCTCTAATCTCTAGTCCAGCACTTTGACCAGTAGACTACACTGGCTTTCAAATAAAACCATAATATCTTCATCAAAACATACTACTTTACTATAGCTTCGGTAGTTCACTATATCTGTATTTGAGTAACATAAGCTTAGATACTTGAGGTGGGGAGGGATCTGCTGCCTTTTCTAGCTATAGATCCACTATTGTTCCAAAACCATCTTAGCTTTTCTAAAACGTTTTTATCTTCTTGCTTGGGCATGGATTATGAAGATACACCTCTAATTATTACATCCCATATCCAATGAAGGATTAAAGCAGGTGGTGAGATTTAGGATTTTTTTAACGCTATAACTGAAAAAGATTTTTTAAAAATTGCATTTAAGAGATTATACTTTTTTCACAATGGCAAGTTTCATTATGCTAATGATCCCTGTAGCAGTTCACAAAAAAACTTTCCAAATATCCCCATAGCCTTTGAAACAAGAGACCATAAAAGGCTGCACCCAGGCAAAGTTCAAAAAGAAACAAACATTGGTAAGGTGAACTGCATACTTTTAATAGCCGGATCTGGCTTCTTGACAGATGCTATTGGCGAGGCGCTGGGGACGGCGGCAGGGCCTGTCCTGCCTTGCGGTCGGGGTGAGCCAGAAGGGCCACGGGCAGGAGATTCCTGGATAATAAATAATAATAAAAAGCAACAGGATGTGGTTTACTGATGCCATCTTTTTGCAAAATACCACCTCCCCCCACCTTTATGATTTTTAAAAGCTGTGTACAACGACGAATTGAAGTCATTAATAAAATACATATTTCCCTTGGTGCAGCGCAATCATCTGTCAAACAATTTCACATTCACAAGACGTTCCCTGGCGGATTACTCTTCATATTTTTCTCTCTTATCTGATTATACTGCCTTATGGAATGTAACCGATTTTAACTAAGTATACTCACAGAAGCTCTGGTAGGGGTTGCCGGCTGCTTGGCAAGGAAAAACTGAAAGAAAAGTTACAGTCCTGTCAACTGATTATCCAAAGAACCACAATACAGCATTATATTTTAGAAAGCTTTTTTTCCTACTGAGATTTTATATTGTTAAAAGAGGAGAGATGATGTGGCTGTTAACTCCAACCTAGTGCTCAAGGCACAATGCTAGAAAGCAGGAGACTCCGAGTTCTAGTCCCGCTTTAGGAATAAAAGCTGGCTGCATGACTTAGGGCCAATCACCAGGAGGCTGGGCTAGTTCTAGTTATAATCTTACAAGGGTTGGTTGGGCTGAGGAAGGAGTTTTCAATATGTTGGCTGCCTTGAGTTATTTGTAAAAATAATAGAGGTAGTGTTGTGGCCTGCCGGCAGCCAGCACAGCTGGCAGCAGAGTCAGACAGTGAGGAGGTTGGGGAGGAACATGGGCCAGTCCTGGGGGCTGGGGAAAGCTCGGAGGAGGGCTCTGCGTCGGAGGCAGAAAGGGAGACAGACAGCAGTGAGGCAGAGGAACAGCTGGAGCCCGTTCCCAGTGTGTGCATGCCCAGAGCTGCCAGAAGACAAGAACAACTAAGAAAGCAGGGTCAACTTGGGAGTAAACCAACACCTTGGAGATGATTGGCCCCTCCAAACAAAAGAAGAGCGAATGGGGAGGGGGCTTTTGCAGGAAACAATTCGTTCGTTCGGTAGTTTCAAGAGTGAAAAGTTCTGTTCGTGACTCCAAGAGACTCTGTGCCAAAGTTTGCCTTCCTCTTGGGGTTTGGAAATAAGTTACGTGGCAGCTTGCCAAGCAAGATAAGTTGTGTTGAGAAATATTCCTTGGAAAAACTGTTTGGATAAACCTTGCTGACTGTGAATGAAAGTAATTCAGTGTCGTGTCAATAAAAGAGGTTTTTGCCGGGACCAATTCCTGCTTCTTTTTTTTAAGGGAGCCTAGGTCAGAACAGGCAGGATACAAACAAACTCACTCACTCACTTATGGAGGCACAATGAACAGCGCTCCAGATGTTTGTGAACACAAATCCATCTAGCACAGTTAACAGTGAAGGAGTGATAGATGTATTCAACAGCATCAGGGTGACTATTGTGCACTATGCTATATATGTCTGATAAGAGTGAATCAGTCTCTCTAGTTTCAAATGAAAAAAAAAAGCAGTATTTCTAAATTAAAGTTCAAAACTATCCTAAGGAAACAGCTCATCCACGAACTAGAGAAGCCGCCATGTGACCAGACACAGTAATCTCTTTCACTGCATCAGACAACTACAATTCCAAGAATTGTTTTGAGAGAAAGTCACCATGCAAAACATAGAAAGCTACGCTTTTGCTCTGCATGTAAATTCTGGGAATTATTTTTCTCCCTTGGAGCTTTACACCCTGGTCCTTCGGGCAAGGATTCTGCTTACTGGGGATTCATTGAAGACTTACTATCACAGGAAAAAAGAGGTGGATTCAGGTCTGTAGTGGTAGGATAATAATGCTACCCGGTTTCCCCCAAAATAAGACATCCCCTGATAATAAGCCCAATTGGGCTTTTGAGCACATGACAATAAGGCCAAGCGCTTATTTCAGGGTTCAAAAAAATATAAGACAGGGTCTTATTTTCGGGGAAACACAGTAAGTAGTCAATGCTATGTGGAGAAGACCAAGATGTTGTTCTTCTAATTTGAGAAAGTTTATTTTTAGATATAGGTTTAAATGTTTTGAGTTTTACCTGCCAGTAAACCATGAAGATGGTTTTCTGCAACTGTGATCAAAAAGGGATGCAAAGGCTACAAAAAGGGAGACTTAGGAGGCTGCATTGAGACCCAAAGCCTCATGATGCATAGACCTTATTTTAAATTAGCCTAAGCCCCAGAGACAAGCAAAAACAGAAAATAGCGTTTTTTCCCACTTACCTGCTGCCTCATCAGAAATTGTTGCTCATCTTCTGCCGCAAACTCTTTATCATGAACTAACTGACAAGGGAAATAAAAAAGGGGGGGGGAAAGGGTTTTCTCACAAACAGATGTTCAGTTATCTGAAATTATCTCCATTAACAGGAGTCATGGGGGAGGAGCGGAGGGAGATTATTATACACCTCAACATCTGGCGTAATAAATGCAAGAAATGTGGATGTGCACACCTGTTTGGATCTTAGGAAAAAAAACCACACACAAGGAAAGAAACAATACACAAGGGTGTCCCTCTCACCCGTACAAATTTAGACTCGCCCCCTCCCCCAACCTGGGATGTAATATGTGGAAACTGCAGAAAGAGGCGAGCCGCGTGCAAATTTCTGGCTATGGTAGCGCTTTCCCTTCCACTTCCTTTCTTAGCATGGTGTTTTAGGGTTAGGACAGGGGTCAGCAACCTTAAACACTCAAAGCCACAAATGTCCTAACCAGAAGCCTCCTGTTCCCCCACCATAGTCTCCTCCTAGCGCGGCTTCCTTTTTCTTCTACATGTCCTAACTGAAAGCCCTATCAATTGTGGAGCCGACCACAGACAAGGAGCCGCAGCAGAGGGATAAAAGAGCCACATGCAGCTCCAGAGCCGCAGATTGCTGACCCTTGGGTTAGAAGAAGTCCTGCTGAACAGTCACTCTGGCCTGAAATCAATACAGGTAAGAAGGCCTGGAGATGGCCCATGGACATTGCAAGGACAACCCTTTGCAAATGATATCCCCTCGTTTTCTGTGCATGGAAAGGGGTGGAACACAGCTCCGTTCTGGGAAAAGCTCCTTTTCTCCATATGCAAAAGAAGCCGATGGCTTCTCTTACTGCACGGAGAAAGCGACTTTCTCAGATACAGCTGAGGAGTAATCAGCTTCCTTGATCTGCTGCCAGAGTGTAGGAACTGTAGGGACTAACTCCCATTTCTGGACAAGCATTTTTAGACTGTATAGGCACAAGCAGCCACAGCCTGCACAAGTTAGATGCTGATGGGCTACAAAGATGGCTGCCAGGCTGATAAACTTAGGCAGTTAAGAAGGAAATATCTTCTGGGTTCCTCCTGCAAAATTGTGTGCCTGAAGCAGGGGAAACGTACATCAAAGGCCTCCTCAGAAGGCTTCTATGTCTCAGAACACTCTTCCACTCATGGTTAGTTGGATCCAAGCCATTTTATCCTGGTCTTTTCCATACCAAATTACAACTCCTTGCCTGGGGTGAAAAGTAGCATTCTGTTTTTTTATAAGTGCTCTTTGTTAAGTCAACGGAGTCCCAAGAAGCACTTTTCCAAGTATTTCATGAGTGAATAGTTAGCAGATTCACTACTCCGCATTAAATGATGCCAAACGAAAGTTTACTGTAATTTAAAATATGAACTTCGGTGTCAATGACCAGCAGCTAGTTTCACATGAAGGATAGTGGAGCAGAGTTCAAAGCAAGCTGTACCTTTCTTACAGGTGGCTTTACGATGAAGTCTTCGTATGCATCTTCCGGTTTCACTGTTGTGAAATTCTCATGCAGGATTGCAATTTTCTTTTCATTGTCCCAGCCAGCAGGTCTAGGGAAAGAATTACCATTCATGCATTTTTTTCAGTAATGCGTTTTGAACATAAAGGCGTGATTTTGCTTGTCTTTTATTCCCCCTTGAAAAGAGACGCTTGTAAATTGAGGCAGACAATTTATTTGATGGGCAGGGAGGAGAGGAGGAGGGCTCCAGTGAATGAAATTATTACACACCTGTAAATAATTTCATTCACAGGTTTTGGGAAGTAGGAAGTTTTATTTCATGATTAAAATGAATGAAACTAATTTCAGTGCTTATCGCCACTGGGGAGGGAGGGGGGGGTCGCACCACCCTCCTTTGAAATTCAACAATTTTCAAAGGAAATTCTGGAAGGTACAGAGAAAAGGGAATTCAGAGGCTAGGTACATTTCTCAAAAAAGAGCCAAAGGCATGAAGATGAAATGCTAACCAGAAAAGACCAATCCCAAGAAGTTACTTAAGTCTACACAGAGCATGAAAACTACTGTATTTTTCAGACTATAAGACACACTTTTTTATCTCCCAAAAGGGGGTGAAAATGTCTATGTGTCTTATAGACCAAATATTATCGAAGCCCCGCCCACCCAGCAGCCATTTTTTTGGCCTCCTCATGCCCCATTTTCAGGCTTTTTTCAGCCCGTTTTGGAGGCTTTTTCAACCCGTTTTTGAGGGTTTGGGCCCGTTTTCGACCCTTTTTTCGGGCCAAAAAAGCCTCAAAAACAGGCCGAAAATGGGGCGCATGTAGGCCAAAAACTTTTATTGTTTTCTTTTTCTAAATTTAGGTGCGTCTTATAGTCCAAAAAACACAAGTATGTAACTTTCGCAAACTGGTGCTCTTCAAATTATTATAGGATTATAGGATGAATTCCATTTAGACAATATTACTCAAGACAGATTTCTATTAAGAGTTGAGACAGATATTTGCACCTTTTAGGTAGGTTTCGTCTCCCCTGACCCACCAAGCCAGAAAAATATTGTGTTTCAGTTACAGTAGCCTTTTGATGCTTATTTTGCCCTTTAACTTACATAAAAACTGCGTCCTTTTCTACCACTGAGGCAGGGGTTGCAAAGTGAAAGCCGTATTTTTTATGTACAATGTACTTATATAACAAGTCGAGGTTCTTCTCCTCCTTAACGGATGTATAGATCAAGGCTGCACCATCTATTCGTTTCGTTTAAGGAAAATTCCAAGCAGAGTAAGTGAATGTCAAGTGCTAAATGTATACATTTAAGTCTCTCAAAAGTAAGTACCTGTTTCTAAATGATATATTTAGTTGCTAATTTTATATCCTGCCTTTATCTCAGAAATTCAAGACAGTATATGTTGTTGCTTTCTCCTTTACCTCAGAGAAGCTCTATGAGAGAGTAACACAGCTAAGCATTGGTCACCTGTCCAAAACTTTACTACGACACCATATGTTTATTTACTGTGTATTGATGATAATGATTTGAAGCAGTCCATCCTTTTAATTTTAAGCCCAAGGAAAAGGAGAGTAGTTGTAATACAGAAATGAAAATGTTAAAAGTGTTCAAACTCAAAAAAAATATTACAAGAAGCCTAAAGCAGTTTAAAGAAATACAGCCGTTCCTAAAGGAGCCAAATTAATTTTCTTTCTCGTGGGAACCAAGGTCGCTCTACCAGATGTTGGAAGGGCGTGGACCAAAGCCAGCCGAAGTTGGGACTATGACCTGATTGGACCATGTGATGGACATATGACTTGGAGGGCGGGGACTTTCGACTTTGAGTGGGGAAAACTCTGGGCCCTTCAGAGTCGGGTTTTCACCAGCCGTTGCCAATATCCCAAATAAATATATTCTTTGAGGAAACTCCAGGCCTCAGAGTTTTGATTGCTTTGGGGTTATTATTTGGAACCCTGACAGCTGGCCTTTGTGGTTTTAAATTTGAATATGTGCTCATGAAAGGCAAATGAAACATAGATGTAACCTAGATGTTTTCAATGGTGGAAACAAAACAAAGAACCGAATTGGATTCACGTTAAACATTGTTTCAAGTTTATAAAGTAGTTTTTTAATATACCACTTCAGGCTTAAGAAAAAGGATACACTGCAAGCAGAACCTACGAATGTGCGACTGAATGAAATCAAAGTGTTCTTCCCTGTAGTCGTGCTCTTTTTCTAACACACTCATTGCGTCACACTGGAAAAAAACAAACAAAGGAATCTTAAGAGTTCTGAGTGTGGAAGACACTTTTGCATTAATCAATATTTAGAGCAAACTTTGAAGCTATTAAGGGGAAAGTTTCAATTGTATTTATTCATTTAGACCATTCGCATAGCAACCAACCCAATCAACATACGATTCAGGGCAATGTACACAAATAAAAACACACAATAACGTTCTCCAATATTTTTCTGTCTGAAAATGTTGCGCCCATGGCAGCTTTATCCAATACAAAAACATGCAACTTCTTAGACCTGATTTGCTATTTAATACTTCAGCTGCGTGGCATGTAAATTTAGAACATAGATCTCCTGTGATTTCAAATATTTGGCAGAATAGTCTAAAATTAGCATAAACAAAAGGGAAGCCTGAAAAAAAAAAGGAAGCAAGCGAAACTCAATGTTCTTCCTGGATTGTAGAGAATGGGAAATGTGAGAATTATTGAAATCAAAAAGAATATGCAAAAGTGCTCAAGGTATCATTACCGATGTTAATGTTAACGAAACAGGAAGGAAGGAAGGAAGGAAGGAAGGAAGGAAGGAAGGAAGGAAGGAAGGAAGGGAATATGAGAGAAGAGGGAGGGAGGGAGATGATATGAGAGAAGAGGGGGGGAGGAAGGAAGGAAGATATGAGGGAGGGAGGGAAAAACCATCTTCCCCACAAATCAGATTTCATTCTTTGAAGTAACAAGATTCAATTCCATTGTATAAATGGGATGGGTGGGTTTGGCAATGAGTGGGACTTCAAGCTTACCTTTGTGCAAACTACCACCACAGGAATCCCAAGATTATGAGTCAGCACATTCTCTCCGAGAGGGAGAACAATATTCTCCTCATCTTGCCCTGATGGACCTCTTCTTTGTGGGGATCCCTGATAACCTCCTTCCGGTTCTACATATTCTTGAAAAATCTTCACAACTACAACAAAACATATACTTACTTTTAAACAATGTCTTTTAGGTTAAAAGCTGTAGCTACTGTTGCAAATGTTCTTTATTAAAAAAAAACAGGTATTGTTTGAAATGAAAGAGCAAAAATTAGGATAAAGCACCTGCTTGTAAAAATAAAAGGGGGAAACACACCATCCATTTTTTTTTCTCAGAATGGTTTTAATATGTTTACCAGTTATCCCACTTCATCTTCCAGGTCTCCAAGAACCCTTCACAATGTAGAAACAGTTTTTCTTCAAAACAAAAATGTTTTTCTAAAATGGATTTGGGGAGGTCACTCTGAAACTTCAAGGCTTCATTATTTTAAGGCTTTTTCAGTAAACTACTACAGACAGCTAAAGGGGGGGGGGGGGAGAGCTGTATCTGTGCCAGGTTTTCTGGAAGAGGAAACCCTACAAGAATTCAGCATATTAAAAATTCAAAAGACCTGAAGTGCTGAAAACAAGGCTTCTTTTAATAGGCTTTCAGAAACTGTACTCCTAGCTTTTACATTTAATATCCCAATGGTTGCAGATATTTTCAAGGTTGGTGAACACTACCCTTCCAAAAAATGCCATCCTTTCTATTTAATGAGATCATCTACATCAGTGATGGCTAACCTTTTTGCCATCACATGCCAAAAGCGGGGGGAGCGGGGGGGTTGCGTGCGCGCATGCCCATACGCATAATTCAATGCGCCCCACCACCCGCACTCCCCCCCGCTTTTGGCACGATGGCCCAGTGGGCCCGTTTTTCACCCTCCCCAGGCTCCAGAGCCTTTTTAGGAGGGCGAAAACAGCCTTCCCCACCAACCCAAAAGCCAGAAATGGCCCGTTTCCCGACTTCCGGTCCCACCTAGCGCGCGCCAGAGCTGAGCTAGGGCAACGCTCGTGTGCCCACTGATATGGCTACACGTGCCACCTGTGGCACGCATGCCAAAGATTTCCCACCACGGATCTACATGATAAAACGCAAGAATATCTTGCCTTAGAAGATAAATGTCCCAAATAGTGAGTACATTATCAAATGAGGGTGCAAATTTATTAGTAACTCCAACAGCACAAATGTAGCATCTTAAAGTCACTGAAATCCATTTGTATGGAGTTTTAGCTCAATCCATTCTTGAAGACTCTTGGGGTCAAGTCAAATTTTGCTTTACCAAGAGCCAGGCAAGTCAAACATCTGCAGCATGCCAAATGTTTCATCTCTAAACTGCTCAACATTGAAGGAGCTGATATTTTTAAGAGAGGCAGCTGTGCACAACTGCATTTATTACACTTGTACCTCACCTGTATACAACTCTGAGCAGCTTTCACTTATGGCAAGTCTTGCCCCAGCTGTTTTATATGACTGCTTCCTTAGGTAAGATAAGAACTCCTGCCTTCTATGGTGGAAAAAGAAACCCCAGTACCATTCATCTTCTTGCATTTTTCAATAGCTTTGGAAACTTTCACTTTGGGCACAGATCCACAACAATCATTACTACATCCAGGGAAATGACTTGTGTGTTTTGCAAAATTCCAAACGCAGGCGTTTTTCTGCTGTAACGGACATGTTCATTTAAGTTTCCATATAAATGTGGAATAATACAATCCACAGCACATAACTTCTTGGCAGAAGAAAGGGATTCTTTGACCCACTGTACTTGAAATTATTTATGGGTTTGATAAACTCACATGATACAGCTTCGGAAACCTTAAGGATTTTTTTTCCACCACCAGCATAATATGAGCTCAGTGTCACATTGAGGCCAGAGGTGTTTGTGTCAAGTAGTGGAAGGTGCTTTGCCAGAATATACTTCTTGAAAAAGATGACGGTGCCCAAATGTTTGGAATAGAAATTCTGATGACACACTCATTGTTTTTCTAACAAGAGATGGTATTTTAAAAAATGTTTTTAAATGATTCTCTTGACTGATGGACCTCCACAATTCCACAGCCCCAATTGCTTTTTTATAAATCAACCATTATCCTGATCATCACTACACGGCATACATGTGTGTCATAAATAAAGAAACAAACTGGTTATTTGAAAATGCTGCTACTATTTGATTTTGGACAGTGGCTTTCTATCGAGTCAATGCCACGCAGATCTTCATCCCTGCAGTTCCTAAAGTTCAGTGCAAGCACCATTCAATGCCCATTGTAAGAAGTGAGCTTTGAGGACTGCAAATTCATCATTGTGCTTTTGAAATAATCCTCAGAAACGCAATTTAGAAGATATATCAACCAGTAAGTTGAAACTCAGGGCATTCTTCAACAATTTTAAAAAACTGTAAATAAACCAATCGCGTTCACCAGGTGCACGTTAACTATCAATTCATTCTGCATGAATTGTAGTAGTCTTCACTAACTGACCACAATTGGGACCCACAACTGTTACTAAGCAAGGTGGTTGATAAGCAAGACATCATGCGACTGAGACTTGCAATCATATTACTTTACTGTTGTGACCCAGACTGACTTAATCATTACAAGACACAATTAGTCCCAAACAAAACTATTAGCTTAGTCCAAATTAATTGCTTATCATAAATCTTTATCTTCTTTGGCACCCTGTCAAAGGCCTTTCTTGGCAAAGCCCCACTAAGTTCAGAAACAAGAGACGCCGAATAGAAACAGATTTAGCAATGTTGCTTTCCTACAAAGAGCCCAAGAGTCTTTGCTGCTCTTTTAAGCTGTATCACTCCCAGATGGCCCTGGCCCCATATCTGCCTCTGACGCAAAGCCCTCGTCCGGGCCTTCCTGAGACTTCAGGACTGGCCCATGGTCCTCCCCAGCCTCCTCACTGTCTGACTCTGCTGCCAGCTCCACAAGCTGCTGGTGGACCACCACAATTACAAACTTTTCCATTGTCTCTGCTTGTCAATGAAGATACTCAATCATGCAGGTAGAATTGTCTGAAAGTTGAATCATGGCAACTTGGCTTTTCTTTTTTGATTTGAAACATTTTGCTGCTTATCCAAGTAGCTTCTTCGGTCAGACTGAAGAAGCTACTTGACTAAGCAGCAAACCTTTTCAAACCTTGAGCCTTGACAGTACAGTGGTCTACGCACCCTGTTATTAACACAGCTGCCTGCAATTTCTGCTGGTTCGAATCTCTCCAAGGCTCAAGGTTGACTCAGCCTTCCATCCTTTCTAAGGTAGGTGAAATGAGGACCCAGTTTGTGGGGGCAATAAGCTGACTTTGTATAAAATATACAAAAGTATGAAGGCTATTGCTTAACGCATTGTAAGCCGCCCTGAGTCTCCGGAGAAGGGCGGCATATAAATCAAATTAAAAAAAAAAAAACCAAAACAGAAAAAAAGTTCAGTTGCCATGAATCAACTTCCAGACCGTCTCTGCTTCTGACAAGCAAAAACAATAGGAAAGCCAGATTCACTTAACAACGTGTTACTAGCTTAACAACTGCAAAGATTCACTTAACAACTGTCGTAAAAAGTCGTAAAATGAGGCAAAACTGACTTAACAAACATTTCAGTTAGCAACAAAAACTTTGACCTCTCAATTGTGATCCATAAATCGAGGACTACCTATACAAAGACACAGCAATCTGAAAATACTTTAAGTGGGCTTTGCACAAGAGCTGCCAAGAATCCATACTTGAACGAATCAATGTCTGCAGAAACAGATTAAAATTAAAGCAAGACGCCCAGCAATGCAAACAGGGAAGGGAAAATGAGGTCTAAATTTAATATTAGGCAAACATCAAATCACACTTGACTATCGATAACGGAAGATGACTTCCTGGAAAATCAGGGCAAATGCATGAAGTCTTGGCACCAGCTTTGTATGACTTCCCTCTGTCAAAACTGGGGGAAACAATTTCTCTTCAATCTCAACAAAAGCAGCTTTGGGAAGAGTATTCCATGGTCGCTTTTTTCCTCAAATATTCCTTAAAAGGGAAGTAGCAACTTGAAAGCTTGCTCTAGCTTAAGATATTTAGATCTTAAGAGGCATGGTGGTTAAAATGCAGTATTGCAGGCTAATTCAGCTCACTGCTAGTTCGATCCTCACCGGCTCAAGGCAACCTTCCATCCTTCCGAGGTCAGTAAAATGAGGACCTAGATTGTTGGGGGCAATATGCTGACTCTGTAAAATGCTTAGAGAGGGCTGTAAAGCACTATGAGGCGGTATATAAGTCTAAGTGCCATTGCTTTATCCATATATTGTTTTTCTTACAAGCCACAGAACTTTTGAGACACAATCCTGCTTAAAACAAATCCATTTCATCAACAAAGCAACTCTGTAATGACTAACTCAAGAACCATCACTGTTAAATGTTCTACTCCAGGCACTATCAAATTTAGATCTAACCCATTATGCCCTCATTCATAGTGTAAACCTCTGCAAGGTTACTCATGAAAGCTACCCTACCTATATCATTCCAACATTTATTTAATTGTACTGTAAACGGAACAGGGATATTATTTATTTACAAACCTACTTTCCCAGGGTGACCAATTCTTCATTACATGAACAAGTACAAATTACATGTTCCCTTACAAAATCCACATAATTAGCAATGCTGTTTAAAACAAAGAGACTCAAACACAAACTGCAGCAGACAAGTAAGGTAGACAGTGCTTAGTTAATGGACTTTTGGCCTGGCTCAGTATAGTTACGGACATTCTTCTAAATAAAGCGCACGGACATTAAAGAAATGTCAGCCTCACGTAACTTACATTGTTGTTCCATGTTTCTCATTTCTTCCGGGGGAATTTTCAGTTTATCAATATGTTCCCGCAAGACACTTGCCCATTTCTGTAAGGATTCCAGAATAGTCCATGGCCTAGACATATCTGCCACAAAGATTACGAGAGTCTCCTGCAACGATTCTGCTGTCACAGCAAACTTCAAGAGACCTTTATGATACAAATCGCCATCAAGAATCCAGACATTACAGCGGGTCTGATCTGCAAAGGAGACAATTCCTCTTAAGTAGGAAATTCTTCTCACATTAAAAGATATAGCATCCATTAACATACTTGGCACTGACAACTTCTAAAGCACCAAGTGCACAGCCAGCACTAAATATAGCACAACTTTGCTTGCAAGGGAGACTACAAACAAGAATTCAGCATCAATGAGATAGAGAAAGAGGAGAGAAGCAGAGGCTGACTAAGTACGAGAATGTGCAGCTATTTCAGACATTCTTACCTAAAAATACTAGGATGGTCTTTCCAAATTGGCAAGGATAAATCTGGATAAATGGATGGATAAATCTTCTGGTTTCGGTTGCTTCGTCTTTCTTAGTTTATTGCTACAATTTGCATCACTTTGTATACACATAGCTCCACACTAATTTTCAGAAGTTCCATGAGCATTTCGCCAGTGCCTGTGTTTTTCCTGATTCATGACTTTTGCAAGAAATATTTCTTAAATGTTGTGCCTTTTACTTGAATAGCATATTTAGAGGCAGACAGCTCCCTCATTTTTACATAGTTTATGACTAGAGAACTGCATCACAAAATTCACAAAACCACAACTATTTATGCATAACTTTTAATTTAATCTTTTGGGAAATTAAATTAGATCCACTTGTGTTTATTGTGGTCACAGAAGACAAGGATGATCCAGAGTGTACCAGATTTGGAAATGCTGCAGTACTCAGCTTTTTTCAAAGGTGAGTTCTGAGGACAAGCTTAGAAAAAGTAGGGCAGCTGAAGCATTCTGACGAGCAATTTTAAATGCACAGGGCAGAAAGGACAAAAGGATCAAGTAATTCTGAAAGCAGTGAAGCTGGACGAGTGAATGTCAAAAAGGAAGCTTTCAGATTGTACTAACGGAGCAACAAGAGGGTCAGGAGAATGGCTGTGGAAGATTCTGAAAAATGTATACAGGATAGAGAAATGGACAGAAACCAGGCTTAAGTGAAAAGTGGAGGGGGTACATTCCACACACACAAAAATGCTAACAGAGATGATGAGGCAGAATGTACTAAATGTGGTAACAGATCATTAAGGGCCATATTTTGTGGTGGGAATAGCATGTCTTGCTAATTGCCTGAATGTAGGCATCAAAGGAAAAAAGAGAGAATGAACCAGACATAAAAGAAAGTGAAAAGAATAAAGGCACTTAAACTTCTGACAATAACATCTTTGAGGTAAACTGGCCTTGAACTTTAGGCAAAAGAAAGGCAGGTAAAACCAGGACTTTACCATCTCTATCTTCATCATGGACATTTAGGTATAGATATTCCAGCCCTCTTCCTTTCTTGCCATGCTCTACTCCTTGGATTTTAGTCAGCAGGGTTGTTTTACCAGAGCCATCATCACCTGCCAGTATGTTTGCAAGGAAGAGAAGAAATAGGAAGATAATCTTTTAAAAGAAAAACACATCATGCCTTTGAATTGACAAGTTGTATGTACCTTCACAGCAGCTGAAGAAACATTTCATTTTAGAGAACAGCTAAACAAAGCCAGGCCTCTTTATGGTGCCAGTCTGCTGCACGCTTCCTCCACTTTCTAACTTGTTAAGTATCAATTACCTTTCATTTTCTTCTTCAAAAAGGAAACATTATTTCTCAAAAAGAAAAACTGGGGGAAAAAATCCCATTAAATCTATAAGAAGCACTAGAGGCCTTATGTCACAAAATGCACACAAGACCATGTGAAGCCTGGCTAATGTATATTCAATCTCTCAACCAAGGCTTTCGTCCAAATTAAATAGCTTTTTTCTTTCATCAGTTAACCTTCTTGGAGAACCAATAGCCTCCCATAGCTATTCACTGATACTCACCAAAGACAAGAATATTTTTGCCTGATGGTAATTTAGACCTTGAGCGGGTGGAGACTTCACTCAATATTGATAACCTGCATTGAAGTAACATTATTTTTAGTCAAGGATGAAAGATACATATCAAAAGAACAGGATGAGTGACAAAAAACAAAACAAAACCAGAAGTGAAGGTCCATCCTATAAAAAAATGAATCAGCTTTTTTTTTTTTTTTTTTGCTTTTTATGGTTTTCATATGTCCAAATGTCATTTCCAAACAGTAAATCAATATTTAAACCCTTGGGTCAGAATTTTTTTTTTATATTTTACATTTACATTTAATCATGTTAGGCCTTATAATATCAGACTACAACCATACTTTTTTTTTTTAGACAAATTGAGGGAAAGCCTGCCTTTTATGAATTAGTGTTGAACTAAGACTAGGATTTTGAGTATGAACCAACAGTGCAATATTACATTTTTTGAGATCAACCATTATAAACATGACACAGCATGAGATGGATAGCTGTACAAATTTAATAAATAAGGAACTAAAGGTTATATATTGCATATAATATGGAAAGTTGCTCCCCACAAGGCTTGGGTACCAGGAGTCAAAGGCCTGACTCTACCTTTTGCAGGAATTCACCTATTCTCTTGTTAAAGAATTTGACTCTGCAATATTTCAATTATACAGAAAGGATTGTGAGTATAATAAACAAAAAAATTCCTGGACATTTGTTAACTGTTTAGAAACATTCTAAATCTAGTACACAAACCAAAAAGCGTTTATTCTCACCGTCTGACATATTTTAGAGCATTCTTTCACAACAGATTATAGTAGTGAGTCACAAAACCCAAAACAAGCCAGAGGTAAGAATCGCTCCTTCTAAATAAAATGCATGGCAACTCAAAGAGTTCAGAATATTCACACATTCCTTAAGCCACGGTTAAGCATTCATTCATTACAAAGCAAACTTATTACCAAGGGAACTATCAATGAAAATAAAGAGCAGCCCACTGATAAAAGCGGAAAACGCCATGAGGCGGTTTAGGGAAACCAGTATAGAAAGCAACACCAGCCAAGCATCCTAACAAATCAGGCTAGCTAGGGAAAACTGCTTGAATCGAGATGTCCAAGCAGGGGGGAACAAAATGCTAGTGATAAAAAGAAAGAAAGAAAGAAAGAAAGAAAGAAAGAAAGAAAGAAAGAAAGGAAGGAAGGAAGGAAGGAAGGAAGGAAGGAAGGAAGGAAGGAAGGAAGGAAGAGACAGTGAGACGCAAAACTGCCATGTCAAAGCTGGAGGAGGTCCGCTTCCTTTGCAAAGGATTAAAGCTCCGGGTATTAAGGATAATATTTTAGAGGCATCCTACTTAAGAGAGACCTGAAAACAGAGACATTTTAAACCAGCAACTGTTTGGGGTGCAGGGGGGAAAAAAAGAAAGCATTCTGCATCCCCCAAAGGAAGGAGGGAGGGAGGGAAGATGCAGCGCCAGGAGCCCCATATTTCAGGCAGAGGCTTCCCCGAAGGCTCTCATCCACCTGCCCCCCCCACCCCAACCTCCAGGCGGGATGATGGCGAGGATGGGTGTGGTAGTTGCCTCATGCCCCTAAGTTAGTAGCACCCAGGCTGCCGCAGCAGCAGCCCCCCCCCACTCCACCCTCCGGGCAGGGCAAGCTCCCCCCGCGGCTCCAGCTGCAGGAGGCGCCCCTCCCAAGGGCGGCGGAGCTCAGCCTTCTCGCCGGGAAAAACGGGCCTCCCGGGGCTCCCTTGGCTGAAGCCGAGCTCGGCGGCGGCGGCCCTGCAAAGCCGCTTCCCACCTGCGAGGGGGAAAGGATGCAATGCCGTCCCCCACGCCCAGGCCCCCCGAAGCCTTCCCCCCGCCGTCCGAAGCCCCTGCCCGGCTGCTCACCAGAGGCTCTGGCCTTCCTCCTCCTCGCTGGGGAGGTCTGCAGCCAAAGGCCCGTCCGGCTCCAGCAGCTTCTTCTCTGCCAACACCGGCGCCATCTTGCCAACGGCAGCCGCCACAAAGAGTGACCTCATCCGCCCAGGCTCCGCCGACAGGACCCCGGCTTTCCCACACTCTCGGCTTAAGGACCCCGACTGTCCCCGACGGGTGCCTGTTTCTTTTTTTTTGTTGTTTCTTTTTTTTTTGCCCCCCCTCTTGGAAGCCTTTTCCGTCGCCCCGTTCGTGGCTTCATCGGTGGCTTTTACTTATACGCGGCGTGGTTTTGGAAGGTGGGGAATTTTTGGTCCCACGCGGAAGGCTGACCCCCCCCCCACTCTTTTTAGTCAGGCAGTTCTGAGGACACCCACGGCAGCGGGTTTTTTTCGCTTGGACGATGAGTTCAATATTTTCGGGGCCGCCGCCCAGTTTGCGCCAAATAGGGACCCCTAGTGGCGGCAACGAGCACAGCAGGCTCTTTGGTTACGCCCGAAGGTTTCGATACAGGCACAATACAGTAATAGCTCGGTTTAGCCTCTCCCCACCCCTTTTTTTTTCTTTTTTCTTTTTTCACTTACTACTACACTTAAGAGGATGCGGAGCTCGCAAGGGACATAAAACGGAGTCGCACCGTTTAGTAGCGAGACTGGATTCCGATACCGGGAGCTTAAAAAGCCCAAAACGCTTTGAAGGAACTCAAAAGCAGAGAGCGAGGGCATAATTCAATTTAATAAATGTTAGACTCGTATTTTGCTTCTTAGTCATTCTTTTCACATTTATTTTTTTTACAGATGGAATCGTAGGATGCACTTCCTTAAAAAGCCAATGCGATCCTTTTGAATGTATACAGTATCAACATGCAACATAATTGCACTTGGGCAAATAACGTTATCTTCAAATTTTAAGTCCTGGTGGAAAAGAGCCTGTTGTGTAAATCTCCAGATACAACAAAACAAGGACTCTTGCAAAGGAGCCGAAGTCACACATTTTAAACGACATACATTCAGCTTTTGTACATTTTCACTGAGGTTGGGTATTTCTGCTCTTTCCATTCTTCTGTAAAAGAGAAAAACGACACAAAGCTAAGCATATTAATCTTGTATCAATTACTCATTGCCTCTAATAGGGCTGTAGAGTTGAAGTAATCAAGGAAAGGTGTATGACTAGCTTTTCTTATTGGTTCCTCCATCACCATCTAAGATGACATTTCTTAGTCCTTCTAAACTGATTTATCTAACTAGTGCAGGAAGCTAGCACCCACCCCTCTCCTAGGAAAATGAGATGATGTAGGAAATATTAAAAGGGCAGAATATTTCCCCTAAAAGGGAGGCAGAAACTCAGCACCCACCCACCCTTCTCAATGGGCTATTAAGGCCTGGGCCAGCCTATTCTACTTAACAAAGAGCCTGTAGTACAGTGGACTAAAGCACTGTTATTAGCAGATTAACATCTACTGCTTGCAATTACTGCTGGTTCAAATCTCCCCAGGCTCAAGGTTGACTCAACCTTCCATCCTTTCAAAGGTAGGTGAAATGAGGACTCAGATTGTGGGGGCAATAAGCTGACTTTGTATAAATATACAAAAGTATGAAGGCTATTGCTTAACGCATTGTAAGCCGCCCTGAGTCTCCGGAGAAGGGCGGCATATAAATTAAAGCAAAAAAAAAAAAAAAATTCTACCTCCTTCTGGCAGAGCCATAATAGGAATCCCAAAGCCCTTTCATTACATCATCACCCAGCAAGAGTGAACCAAGTTTGGGATTTAGGACAGCCTACAGAGTTGCCCCTGCATGGCCCCATGAGAATCTGACAACCGATCAGAATACAAGCTCAAATTCAAAAGCTCAAGAGGACATAAAACTCAGGTGCTCTCAGCATTTCTTCCCTTTTTTTTTTTCCACCCAAGATCTTCAAGGCATGTGATCCTGTCCACCATTAAAACCATCTTTCCCAGCAGCCACCATGTTGCCGATGTCTTTCTCCCCACTTGGAACTGAACCCAAAAGGACATTTCTTCCAACACCAGCTATTAACTTTAAGGCCTCTGCTACTCTCAATCCATGTAAATATAGCTATAAAACAACAACAACAACAAAATACCTGTAACTTGCAGTATTTCTTAGCAAGATCAACATTCGTCCGTCCTTTCTGAAATGGGTAGGCCCATAAAATTGAATTCCAATGATGCCCCATTTTCCTTACACCTTCCAAAAGATAACTTATTTCTTCTGAGGTAAAATCTTTCCTGATTCTCCTGTTCTTTAAAGTTGTTGTAGACCTATTTGATAGAGTTTCAGTATTCTGTATACTGCAGTATTCAGTATTCTGCAACAGTAATTAAAACAGCACACCAAGAGTTTTAAGTATAAGCCCTTTCAGCAAAGAACACTATCTGGTGTTAGAATTTATACCCAGATATTAATATACAAAACACTGATATTTAGGTGTCCGTACCTCCTCTTCAAATGGATGGTTTTCACTCAGGTCCTGGTCTTGAAAGCTATAATTCTGTTTCATTGTTTGGTTCTTAGAATGTGCATCACATTGAAAATTTACTGTTTGAAACAAAACATTATTGACTTATTCAGACTGAAAATTACCACAGAATGGGGCTAAACTAGATATTACTACGAAGGATAAAGGTTCCTTGACACACCTAACTCTTTCGTAGTTGTTGAGCTTCTCTTGCAGCTGAATCTCTGGTCATTGTGATTACCACTATATGCAGAAGTATTCTTGTTAGCCATAATGGATCTTCTCAACTTCCTTTTATATTCCATCTCAGATTCAAGAATAATTTTGTGTTGTTCACACAGATATTGACAAGATTGTAGCGTCTTGCTAAAGTTTCGGCTATTTAAGGAAAGTCTTCCTATTCTACAACCTGAGAATATAATATTATAGAAATAAAATGTCACTGGTGCAAGACATTAAATTATTTAATATTTCTTATTTTATGCTTTAACTACATTGTGATAAATGCATCACTAAATCTAAAAAATCAATAGATCTACAGATACATTGCCCTATAGGTCAATTATATCCTCATAAAAAAGCCCAAAGAAGGACTTTTCTGCTAGGCAAGGAAGGAGCCAAATTATATAGTAGCAAACCCCCTCCACCCCAAACAAAAGGATGATATTGGTACATAGCCAGAGGGAGGGCAGCAGAGGTGATATTCAGCCGGTTCGCACCGGTTCGCGCAAATCGTTGGCAGAAATTTGGCCAACATCACCGAACCGGTAGCAATGGCCAGCTGGCCAACCCCTTGAACCGGTCCCCCAGTCGCCGTTCGCTCGCCCTAACCGCCATTTAATCGCCGCCATGTTCTTCACGCACACGCATTCCATTGCCTTGCAAGTCCAATGAGATGCGCGTGCGCAAAGAACATGGGGATGGCAGCAGCTTTTTCCACAACCTCCAATATCTTTTGGCGGCCTGCAGACAGCCGCCATTTCTTTGAGAGCCGCTAGGGGCCGCAGAAAACTCCGGTCACCTTGCCTTCCGGACTCTGGACCAGCCGCCACAGAAGGTAAGCAGCCCAAACAAAGAGACGGTGGTGGGGGAGGAAGTGGGGGTAGGACCAGGGCCGCTAAAGGAAGGGAAACGACGGCCACTGGCGAAGGGAGGGCGGGGGTAGATAGATGGAAATTCCAAAATTTTTCCTACCTTTTCCTGTGGGCATGACCCCTGTGGAGGGGTCATATGACTAAGTGGACGTGGGCATGAGTGATGTCAAGTTGGCCACGCCCACTCAGTCACATGCTCCCCCCCACCTAGCCACGTCCACTGAACCTGTAGCGAAAATTTTTGAAACCCACCATTGGAGGGCAGTCTCAGAAAATTGTACTGATTATCCATGCCATCTTGCTATACCCATATTGATATGGCTAATATTAGGAATGTTGCACACACAGCCCTCCTAACAATTTTCGTTACTTTGGATAGGCAGGCTGGCTGGCTGAAATTGTATCACTACTTCTTAATGGGAAGTCAGTGGGACTTCCTTTTGAACAGAAAAATCTATGAGCATATTTTAATATGTTTTCTTTTTAATTACCTGAACATCTGAGTTCTCTTATTTTAGGGGGAACAGTCAGAATATGGCCCATTCCTCTGTTTGGGTTCCTTGGATATTGTAGCTCTTTGAAAAATAAAACATCTAATATGAAATGCAGTAATCAATGGATGTATTTACTTTTATATATTACCACTGTATTTAAAAGGAATTAAACTGAAATACTGTAATATACACCAACATATATAAAAACTAATTGCCAACTAACATTTCCAGATTAAATTTTTGATCTATCAATTTAATCACTAACTGTTATACTTAAATTTCCTTTGTATGATACAGCAACACAGGGCTTACATTGTTAATATTTAGTTTACATATTGATTCTTCAAAAGATTGTTAACAAGAATTAGAACCATATTTTCAATATAAAGCAAACTTATTATTGTTGTAATAATATTCTATACATACTTAGCTCTTTTGAGTAGCATATCACAGTATGTAGCTGTGTACCTTTTAGCCATCCATACAAAAAATATATAATTTCTAAAAATCAAATTGAAATTAAAATATTTAGATAAATTATATTTACCTGAACGTGGAATCTTTTGCATTGGGCTTTTTATTACAAAATCTGGTTTCTTAAAAATGAATTCACTGAAAAGATTAAAAGAGTATTACTGAGAATTTTAGTTTGGAGATTTGACAGATGCCTCAAAAGTACTTCAATCTTTCATATCGCACCACTAACTGAGGAACATACAGTGTTCATTTATGGGTATCCACTCCATCTGAGTATGTCAAATGGTAAAACCAATATTGTACTTTTGTGCCACAAACTCCATTTCATTTGTACACCCATGTAACACCATGACACACATGCACAAAGTGGGCAGGACTTGCATTGTGACAACACAATATTGCTTTATCACTCTGCTCAATTTGATGTTTCACATTCAAACTCAAATTTGGAAAATTCTCCCATCCTATAATTAATTTATTATTGATATGTGAGGAAAAATTCACAGAATAGCACACATTGTTCCTGTATGTGGCATTATCTAGAAGTCATGAATTATCATAAAAGAGACAAATTGATTTCTATCTTTGAGAGAAACATTTAGATAACAATACAATTTATCCCATACAATTTAGGATAAAATTCTAGGCTGTTCAGAATTCATCCCAAAACTTAAAATGGAATTAGATCAGTGGTGGGTTGCCCCCAGTTCGGACCAGTTCACAAGAACCGGTAGTAAAACCAGAGGGAGGCCCCATCCACCATCCTGGATGTCATCATCGGCGATCTGTGCATGTGCATGCGTGATCCAGTTGCGAATCAGTAGTAAAGGTAAATAGAACCCACCCCTGAATTAGATAGTATAAGGGGCCCTTTATCACTTAAAATAACTGGATCTATCCTAAGCATAACTAAATCTGGAAGCAACCCAATATGAAATTTCCATCTGAAAATCTGATTTACTATTAAGAACAAACTAACAAGCCAGCTTTAGACAGAAGATCCTAGGTACAGTACCTTGCTTGGGCATCACCTTTCCTAAAATCACAAAAACTGTTTTTATTTGTAATATAAGCTTCATTTATGATGGGTGCTGTCGTTTTTTCAGCTGCATAAAGAAGATTATTGTGATCATTTTGAGCGAGTGAAGCATCAGTTGAATTCCTAATGGCAGACTTCAATTGTTCTCTACTAGAAGTAATCTTATCAAATTTAGAAGTATTCTGCACTTTAGAAATAGTATTTTGTAGTGGGCATTTCATTTCTGAATATATTTTGCTGTTCTCTGAAAGCTGCTTGCTGGAATTTGTTCGACGATGTTGGGTCATAGCCTGCAGAAACGTTTCTTGAGGGGTATCCTCATCAATTAATATTTCTCTTCTGATACTTTCCTATGTTTAAAAACAGCAGGGAAATGAAACAAATGCATAGACAAAAAGCAAAGCTGCAGGATAGGACCAGGCCCAACATGACTGTAGATGTTAAACAGAACTACCATAAGCAAACGTTACACCTTCTGTTTGACTATAAAAACAACAGGAAAGCCAGTGCAAAACTGCTTTCAATAAAGCTCATATGGATATACGGTAATCCATTAATTTAGTACCATGATGGAATATTTATCTTAGCAGTAACTACTTTCAAGAAATCAAACTTATATGTAAAAGAATACCCAAAATACCTAGAAGGGGCCATCAAGCACTGACTAACAGGAGAATGGAATTTCATTTTTTAAATGCAAATGAGCATAGCTCATTGAGTTATTACCATACTCTTTGGACTATAAGATGCACCGGAGTATAAGATGCATCTTAGTTTTGGGGGAGGAAAATAAGAAAAAATATGATTGACTGGTGGATGGCCTCCTGGAATACCCCCAATCAGCTGTTCTCAGAACTGAATTTTAGCAACAGGTTCGTTGGTTGTGAGTTCTGCACCTTGCTTTTTTTCCAGCCTCTGAAATCTCTGTTTCAGAGGCTTTTTTTTCTGCCTCTGAAACCACCCTTTAAAGAGGCTTTTTTCAGCTTCTGAAACCTCCCTTTAAGAGGCTTTTTTCAGCTTCTGAAACCTGTGTTTCAGAGGCTGGGCAGGGCTACCTTTGGTGTATAAGACGCACCCAGATTTTCACCCTCTTTTAGTGGGGAAAAAGGTGCGTTTTATACTCTGAAAAATACAGTAATTCCAAGAATTGAAAGACTGGAATAAAACAATACAATTAGATTCTACTGAGAATGTCAGGAGAGGCTTTCTGATTTTGATAGATTTCCTCAACTACTACGAGAGAGAGAGAGAGAGAGAAAGAAAGAAAGAAAGAAAAAACCTCTTGTTCATTTTCAAGCCCTTTGATTCTGTATAAAATTTGCTTTGCTTCGTTCCAATAATCTTCAAGAATCCTTTCTTTGTTCTGCCAATCTACTTCCAATATTCTTCTTTCATCCTCTTGGAATGAATGCTGATTCATCTTCCCCGACAATTTTTCAGCTTGTGAAAAAGAATAGAAACAATCGTTTCACAGAAATAAAGATATATATTTTATAATAAAGACTTAATGCATTACATCCGTCACCATCTCATGTGTAACATATTTAAGGTTTGATTTGTATCAAATAAAATATTTTATTCACACAAGAAACCGCCCAAATGACCAAAATGGGTTGTTTAATAGCAGTTTCTTGATCCAAGCATCTCAGGATGAAATCTTCTTCTCCAATCATAGAGTTTTAGCATAGGATAAAACTACTGAGGGCATCGCATTAAATGCCACTAGAAGAATGTTAGAAACATTTGTTAATTTATAGCACTGCTTTCACAAAAACACATTCTCAATCACAAAATTAAACTTATTATAAAATGATACTTTACAATCTATATATTGGAAGACAGTCTAACAAATACCATTAGTTTCAACCTAAAGAACTGATTTTGCAACAGGTTCACATACTGAGCACTTGGATACAGTTGTTACTTCTGAATTTAACCAAGCAAGTGACTATTTAGATGCAGATACAGAAATCAAAATAATGATAATCTTACTCATCTGTTTGCAGTTTTGCAACACAAAGGTAGCAGCTTTATTTAGTTCGTCATCCTGCGTTTCAGTTAGTGCTTGAATCATAAGTGGAAGGCCATTGTTCTTAACCAGAGCATATTGATTTTCCTCTAAAAAAAAATCAGCCCCAGTAAACATATTTGTTCAAACTGTAAAATTAAGATCATCTGAAAACATCTTTACAAGAAAAAGCAATTGATTCTGAGTTTTTCATCACAACTTTGCTTAATCAGAAACATGTGCTCTCACTTACTTCAATACTCAAACTATCAGTAAGGTCTAAAATTTAAAGTCACATCTTGCTATCACTGCCAACTTGCCATCAGCAGTTTATTGTTAGGATATATAATAAACTCAAGAATTTATATTAGCTTAGAACTACAAAAGTTATCCAGAAAAAAAAATAATCCAAAAAGTTATTGTAAAAGATAGTTACAGAGTTGAGTTACACATCAACCAATATATATTATTTGAGGTGTTTTATGGACCACTACCTTGTAGTTTGTAAATTGCAGTTGATGGCTTATGTTGCACAAATCTAGCCACTTTTAGTTTATTTAATAAGCCATTTTAAGCTAACTGTAGCATACTATTATGTGTAAAAAAAATCAGTAGTAGTTCAAAGCAGGGGTGGGCTGTTGGGGGTTCGAAGGGGTTCGGGAAAACCTCTAGCTAAGATTCTGTGCAGTTCAGAGAACCCCCAAATCCCACTCCTGGCTGGCCCCGCCCCGCCCACCCCTCCCAGGAGTCTCCTCGCGGCCCATTTTGGATGCAGGTAAGTGCAGGGCATGTGAGGGGAGGACAAAAAAATGGCCCTGCTGTTTCTGGCCTCCAGAGGGCCTCTGGAGCCTGGGGAGGTCATTTTTGCCCTCCCGGAGGCTTGAGGAAAGCCTCCAGAGCCCAGGGAGGGCAAGGTGCATGCAGAGGCTTGGGGAGGGCAAAAAATGGGCCTATAAGAAGTTCAGGAAGGCTGGAAACGGGCATATTTCTGGCCTCTGGAGGGCCTCCAGAGCCTGAGGAGGCCGTTTTGCCCTCCCAGAGAAACGCAGAAATGCTCCCCCACCCCACCATGGTGCCCCCATGGCAACGCCCACCCAGCAACCGGGCAGAGAACCCCTTGCTAAAATTTTTGAAGCCCACCCCTGGTTCAAAGTACACAGTACATATTTTGGCAGAGGTCAGACATGAGAATGATTCCTATGATTCCACAGTTTGTAAAGCTAACTAAAAGCACAATTCCTAGATATTGTCAAATCCTACTTCTGTCTGCTCAGAACTTCTCCCTCAGATAAACACACGCACAATTGCAAATTGTCCCATTTAGGGCTCCACGTTCTATTAAATTGTTGGAATGACTTCATACTTATATTTTATTGGACTCACGTCACTAGGAACTTCCAATGTTTTATTTTGGCTGATTTTTCCATTTAGATGAAAGCTAAATGCAGCTTGAAAAAATCAAACATAGATTATCAATATCAGATTTGGTCATTCTTGTTTATTGTTATAAACTACATGTTGAAATTCGAATGCAGTCTACACCTCAACACAGCATTCACTACCCTCAAATAAATGATATATAATTAAGAATCTTACCACAGACTTCTGTACAATGTCCAAGAGTAAGTATAATGCTGAATCGCTCTCCTGAGTCCAAAATGTTGTAAGAAAGCAGTTTTAGTAGATTAGGCACAATGTTATACTTTGGTAAATGAATGCCAACTGCAGCTGCAAATACAAAATAATTTTTTAAAAATGCCTCTTTAGGTATACAATAGAATGAAACCACATACAAAGTTGTACATTTGGAAGATTTGTACATTTAGAAGAACCTTCTGTATCATTGCTTCCAGTTTTTTCAAACTTTCTCTCTGGAGCAAATGTTACTATCTGTGCACAGTAGCCAAGATAAACACAAGGATATAGCAATAGCACTTAGACTTACCATATATACCGCTTTACAGTGCTTTATAGCCCGTTCTAAGTGGTTTACAGAGTCAGCCTATTGCCCCCAACAATCTGGGTCCTCATTTTACCCACCTCGGAAGGATGGAAGGCTGAGTCAACCTTGAGCCTGGTGAAATTCGATCTGCCAAATTGCAGGCAGCCTTCAGTACTGCATTCTAACCACTGCACCACCGTGGCTCATATAAGAAGTGAAAATACAGATAGTTTTCAACTTACAACCACATAGTGAGACCAAAACTTCCATTGTGAAGTAAGGTGGTCAATAAGTGAATTATACCTGATGTTATGACATTTTTGTTGCTATAGTCATTAAGCGAATGGCTTAATGTGGTTGTTAACAGGATGCATGGTCATTAAACAAACCCAGCTTCTATTGATTGTCAAAAGCCAGCTGGAAGGTTGTAAATGACAATCACATAACCCTGAGAAGTGGCAACTGTCACAAATACATGCTGGTTAACGAGTGCCTAAATTTAGACCATGTGACCATGAGGATGCTACCATGTCGTAAGTGCGAAGATCTGTTGTCACTTTTTTCAGTGCTGTTGTAACTGTAACCGGTCTCTAAATGAATGGTCGAAGGATTATCTGTACATTGAAGGAGATCTGGGAGACTTTCAGATCTCTTATGCCTCTTGCAGCATTCCTAATGTAGCTGAAAGTCTTTCAAGCATATTTGCAATTGTTTCAGAGAAAGTCAAAAAGCAAAACAGATCCTAGCAATAAGATCAACAGATAAGATTATCTGTTACTATTAAGACAGTGAATTGAATATTAAACCCACACACAGAACACACTATGCAATTAACAGTAAGTTTACGAACAGAAACTACTTACCGTTATTAGCAATGCAGGCATCCAATGTTTTTGTCACCACTACAGCAAGTTTTATATTTGTATTGTTCCCCAATGAACCGTGTATCAGTTTGAGAAGAAGCTCATCCAAAACAGCTAATCCTCCAATAGAAATAAAAAAAATCTGTGTTCTTGCTTGAAAAAAAAATCCCAAACAATAAACAATTATCAGATTGCTTTAAGATACAGATGTTTAAAGTTACAGACATTATAAAGTTAAACAGATTTGGAGAGGGGAATAATATTTAATTAGCTCTTTGATTATGTTAAAGCAGATAAATAAAACAAAATCCTAAATCAAAATTTTAAAAAATCTCTAAAGGAATCTCAAATAACCTCAGTTGTAACCGCATTTATAACTGAGATACGTGAACAAGTCCAAAATGTGTAACTGATGTACACAAAACTAGTTTATTCCATAGCTTCACACAAAAGATTCATAAAACAAGTACAGTGGGAAGCTATAAGAAATATTAATATTCTCATATGACCTTAAATTTTTAAGATTTAAATCTTAAAAATTTAGATTTCTAAATAACTTTTTTCTGAATAACTCATGTTTGGCTTGCACAACGCATCAAATCATGCCTTTTGTAGCCTTTAAATCTCCTTTTTGCTATCCCTAATCCCCTTCAATGGCATTGCCAAATTTTGGATTTCACAATTTTTAGAAAGGAAATGGAAACCGTAGCATTAACTTAAAACCAACTTAATATGAGAAAGAAAAATCACACAATTAAACAAAAAAAAAAAAAGGAAAGAAAAATATATGCCAGCGTTGCTGCACCACATCGCTTACTTCACATCATCAGTTTGCTTATTGCAAATTTCATCCTCTCAAAATCACATTAGAGTTTCTGTCGCACATCCGGACACTCTATCTCTTTTCTCCCTACTTAGGAATGATATTTTATTCCACAGAATAAACATTTTCATAGTGTGTATTTTTAGATACTTACAATTATTTGCAACAGTGAGCCCAATGAATGAACATATTGGACGAATTATCTCAGCCTTCATACTACTTTGCAGCCAATCTTTTGCATACGGAAAAACCAAACTACAAGCTTTCTGATTTTCCTCTGGAAGGGAACAAAGTGTGCATTGAACAGTAGCCATTTGTCATCCCCTCCCATCTATATAGAAAGAAGAAGAAAGAAGAAAGAGAAGGAAAAGGAAAAGAAGGAGGATAAGAAGAGGAGGAGGAGGAGGAGGGGGAGGAAATGCTTGATAAACTAATTACCATTCTGAGGATTGTTGACACATACACAAAGATTACTACAAACTGAAGACCACAGATGATACTGATCAATTTTATGATCAAAAAGGTTCATTTGAGATTCGGAAGGAATTACTCTGTTCAAGAAAATAGATGGCATATAATGAAAAAAGTCATTTGGGTCTATAAAAATTACTTTTTAATTGAATTTTTTTGGGGTTAATTTACCTGAATAACTGTAGCAGAATATCGAGGCATCCAGATTCTCTCACATGTGTTTGTCCACTGTCTATATTTTTAAATAATTTTTTTTAAAAAATAAATAGAACAAATATTAAGCAACTAATAATGAAATCTAATGAATGTTTTCAAAGTTTCAACATTTTACCTAAAACAAACTAGGATTTCTGATTCATACCAAAGAGCCCCAATTAGATGGGAACTAATCTTAGTAGATCTCATATTGTTAAGTGAGGACTGCCTGTATATGTGTTTGAATAATTTCTTTATACATGAAGAAGAAAAAAAATCTTACTATTATTTGAAACCAGCACCAGTAAGACATATACAGACATTCTTTTCAAATTCATTCTTGAATCCTTATTAGTTAAAAATGTACGAAGATCCTTAAATAATTCAGCTGTGCATAACATCTGTTGGCAGAACACTAAAAAAAATAAATATAATGTGAATAAGACTATATTGCATCACATTAATTGTTAAATACAATCGAATTTCCCAATAATTATGCATTATTGCCCCCAATAACCCAGATTGTTTGGGGGCAAATATTATGGCATTGTAAACCACCAGAGAGTGCTATAAAACACTATGGGACAGTATATAAGTTTAAGTGCTGGTATTATTGCTGTAATTGAGCAAATATAGGAATTATAACCACTATTCTCACCTACCTAATGGAACTTACTTTTCAGAAATATGGCTAGAACTACCGGTACATTATAATGGTAGCTTTGGGAACATAAAATATTTTAATTTATTCAAGTGCAGAAATTATACCCAATTTTTGTTGAACTTTACATTGAAGTTCAGAGTGCAACATTATTCACACACTCTTGAGAATAGTTCTAAATAGATAACAATAGGATTGTATTCTAAGAGTGTTTTCGGTGAGATTTAGGGAGCCTGTTTTGATGGGAGTTCAAGTAAGTGAATAGAATAGAATAGAATAGAATAGAATAGAATAGAATAGAATAGAATAGAATAGAATAGAATAGAATTCTTTATTGGCCAAGTGAGATTGGACACATAAGGAATTTGTCTTAGGTGTATATGCTCTCAGTGTACATAAGGAGAATAAAATACGTTCATCAAGAATAAAAAAAAAGTTCATAGCAACCATGACTCCAAGTACTTATTTCATTTATACATCTCTTTATTAACATTTGCAAAATCACGTATGAGTTTAAAGGTGCATTGATATTAAATCAACCAGAATGATGAAGTATTTTCATAGCATTTGCTCAATATTTAAGTTCTTTAATTTTCCTTCTGTGAAAAACAAAAGCTAACATTTAAACATCTGGTGATGTTTAAAATATATCTGGCTCACCATCTTCTCCCACTCCATCTGAGCTATATAGAGATTTCCTTAATAAAATTATTTTTCAGGTGATCAGATTTTAGATAAACAGTAAAATATTTATAAATGTAGAGTTTATTGTACTGATCGTCAAAAATGTTATCAATAAAAACAAAGGATTCTGTAAATACATGAAAGAATTATATAATGAGAATGAAATTGTGTCTTACCATTATTCTCAGCTAAACCTCCTAATGTAAATAAAGCAGCTTCTTGAACCAAACTGTGCACGTGTGACTTTGCAAGATTCCATACAAACATCAAACCACCTATTTCTCTAAAATAATCACAGGCAGCACCTGTAGCAAAAACAGATCCGGTGAATAGCAGATGATGTTTTAAAATAAAATTTATTTCCATACTAATAATCCCAATGAGCAAAACAAACCCAATAGACCTACAATTCTAAAACTCAGTAGCTTACTATTTTGTTGACAAACCGAATAAATAGTAACCAAGGCTTGCTTTTGAGAAGCTGGATGATCCATTTGATACTTAAGACATTCAAGGAGTAAATTCAGATCCGTTTTCATATCTGAAAAGATAAAACAATAATTTCAGAATATTTAGAATCCTTTTTTAAAAAAAGTTGTCAATGGTAGAATCTTGTCATCTGTAACAGCCAATTGCACTAATGTTAAGAATGCCAACAATATTCCAAACAATTATTAGTTAGTGTACTGAGTAGAATTTTTTTTAAATAAATGGGAACTGCTGTTGTTAATCCATGTTTTTATGTACGTGGAATTTGAACTTGCGTTTGCATTCAAAAAAATGCAAAGAACATGCAGAAAAAGTTGTGAATACACAGAGCAGATTTAATACCATCCTTTAATGTATTGTGTCTGTGCTAATCTTACCACAATTAATTTTCTGTTCTTTTCCATTTTCCATTTTGATTGTATTTTTTCTCAGCTTTTATCTATAATAAAGAAGGTGGAGAAGAAATAAAACACAAGTTAATTTCTTCATTAGAAATAAAAAATTAGGGAAAAAAAGTTATACAAAATATATTCACTTTACCATATTTTTTTTTTATCATTTCTATCCCAATTCTCAGTATAGGATACAAAATTAAATATCCAAAACTTCCCTTATAGACAGAGTAGCTTTACAAAACACCCAGGCTTGGTCTGGGGCATCTGCAGTCCAAAATGTTGAAATGGAGGTATAAAAAAACAGGTAGATCTGGTACCTGGAATTTTATGCTTCATTATTAGCATTTTAAAAAGGCAATGTCAGCATTTTTAACACGGTAGCCCAGGCCTCTTTTCTAATTTTAAAAAAGCATTTTTTTTCCTTCATATTCAAGACCATTTCTTTTGGTATGCAAGAACTTGCCTTTTCAACAATTAAACAACAGAAAACCTTAAATACACTTGCAAGACGCAAACCTCTCTGGAAAAGGGAATAATTTAATTTATAGTTTAACCCATAAATTTGCCACTCCTAGACTGTTACCTAGAAGCAACGTTTTCTATTGATCAATTCTCACATATAATCCATGTCTTCGTTTGAGCACTTGCTTTCTAACGTATCGCATATACCAAATATATGTATAAATTGTCTCTGTACCCTATAAAAAGACTTGACCCTCCTCCTCAATAAATGCTTTTTACTTTGCCTGAATTACTTGGCGATTGGCATTTTCAGGTAGGCGAAAAAGCCTCCTTTGCAACGATTAAAAAGTGGTTTGTCTCTCAGATTCAGAGAATGGGGTCCTCAGTTCCATGCCATTCAGGGCGCCTGCATTTCAAGGCAACAAAGTCAAGATGGCAGCATAGAAACGAAACAAAACAGGTGGAACTTCAAAGGGGAATATTGTGTCCGCCATCTTGACTTTTTTTACTTTTTTGGGCTGGATTATAAACGAATTAAGTGCCAATAAAGCAGCCATATTAGGACATCATGAGACATGCGAATCCAGTAAAAGGGGCCTGTCAGCCCTCTTTAACTGAAAACGTCTTTCTTGAAGAATTAAAATGGATATTTGAGGGTCAAAACCATACACTTTTTCCCACTTTTTTAACAATATAGAGATGTTCGATGCCATCCAGTTAAAAACAGGATGAGACTGAATCAATTCTGAGAATATCTTCCATTAGAATTGAAGGCCTGACTTTCTCTAATTGCAAAATGGGGTGCTTTTCTGAAATAATTGCATAAATAAGTGCCGCCAAGGCCGGAAAAAAAAAAAAGACATCTCTAGGTACTACTCCGAAGAATTTTATTCATGTTTCTTCCCAATAGTGCCTTATTTTACCCAGGCCTTCAATGCCGTGGGTTGTTTTGAAGGTCATTTGTACTAAATCTGTTTAAAATGAACACACCTCTGCCTCCCACGTGTGCAAACATCCCTCTCCCACCAAGCTGCTTATGTCAGGGGTGGGCAACTGTGGCCCTTTTACAACCTGTGGACTTCAACTCCCAGAATTCTTGGCTTGGCTCCCAGACAGCTTGGCTGTCTCAGGAATTCTGGGAGTTGAAGTCCACAGGTTGTAAAAGGGCTACAGTTGCCCATCCCTGGCTTATGTCATTCAATAGCAGCCCACCCCACCAGGTAAATTGGAACTACAAGTCCCAGCATTCTTAGCTCCAGCACCCACTGCTCAGCTGGCTGGGAGGGAGGTCCAACCACAAAGCAAATGATAAACTAGCTTTCAAATTTGCCTCTGGTCTCGGCCGAAAGGAATCTGCAGGAACTTCCAGCATTAGGCACCTTGGTGTGGCCTTTACAAGTCTGAACACTTCGTCTCTTTCTTGTTCACCTGTGTAAAATTTGTGCATTTTTTTCCCCTGGAGGGGAAGCAATGATGGCAGATCCTTTTCCTACCCAAGGAATGGGCTCTGTATGAGAACACAAACAGGCTGCCTGAGATGTTCCACTACACACTCAGCGCAGTGAGGCTGCAACTTTGTCTCCTGTACTGGTTATCCTCCATTTATGACCACAATTGGGATCGAATTTTCTTTTACCAATGACCCATAACGTCCTTTCGAAGGTAGATCACCCAATTTTCAAACTTAGTGTGCAGCTACTAATCGGATAATAATAACTTTATTGTCATTGTACGTGTATACATAGTATACCCATACAATGAAATTCACTTAACACCCAAAGACCAGGTCCAACACTTATAATAATCCCCAAACACACCCCCACCCACCACAAATTCCCCACTCCTAAACCACCCAAACATCCACACAACAGATCAAGTAATGCTGTCCAACAGCTCACTGATGGTGGCCCTTTAGTTCATTGTTGAGTGTGTGTGTGTGTATACATACATACATACATACATACATACATACATACATCAGCAAAATATAAATTTATACACACACACACACACATATACACACACATATATACATATACATACACACATATATATACCAAATTTATATTTCATTGATATGCTCCCTCCCACATGCTGGGGTAGACCAGATGTCTCGATAGAAAAACACTTTATATCTATATCTCTATATCTCTATCTATATATCTAAATCTAGTGAAAATACACACACACACAGTCTCAAATTGAGTGCCTCCATTTGGGCCTAGAACAGTGACAGACTCACTAGATTATCAACCATGATTTTGCACTGAAATGTTTTGTTTCAAAGGCAGCCATTTTTAAAGGGCTTGCTTTTCTCAAAATATAAGTAAAACTTGCATGACGGATTAAAAATGTTTGTTGTATGTAACCCTTACCACTATATCACAGTGTCATGATTTTCCAGAATGTTTTACATTTTCTTAATGGTTTAAAGACACATTCATAATATTGAGAATAACACTGCATATTATAGTGAGTGGGATCTAGAATTTAGACCACAGCTTATCGTAGAGGAAAAACTGAGCAGTGGTTTTTGTCAGTTCTACTCCACTGCAGTGAAGTATCTCCAAAAGCTGCTATAAGCATTATGAAAACCTCCAGAACAAGGTGCAAAAAGATAATGGTGTCAGCAATGGAAAGGAAAAATGCTGCCTTTTTCTTCACCAGTAGCTTTCAATGAATGCCCAATCCTCTTTGTGAACCAGTCTTTTCATGGAGTATATCGTATGTTGCAAGAAACTATTTCTTACTCATGAAGATCTAACACATTGCGCTTAATACCACTGCACATTTGCTTCAAAGAGTAATTTACCATATTTTTCAGAGTATAAGACACACCTTTTTCCCTCCTAAAAGGGGTGAAAATTTATGTGCATCTTATACACCGAATGTAGCCCCGCCCACCCACTGGCCCCCACCCTTTGACCTCTGCCTTGTAGCAGTTACCTCTTTGCAAGCAAACAGCAAGAAAAAAACCAGCTCCTTTCAGCTTCAGCACAGTCTAATTAGCACAAGTTGATTGGATCGGCCTCCCGACTCTCAGCTGATTTGCTCTCAGCTGTTTTGGGCAGGGCTCTGCTGCTTGCTGCAAAGTGGTAAATTGCTGGAGCAGATTATTATTTTTTCCTTGTGCTAATCAAGCTATGCTGAAAACGAAAATGAAAGTAAAGCAGGCTGTTTGCTGCAACCAGGCAAAATTGCTCAGAGGCAGAGGGAGATTTCTTTCTTTTCCTCACCAAAAAAGGTAGGTGCGTCTTTATACTCTGAAAAATACGGTATTTAGCACAATGTTTAAAAATACTTCTTTGAGTCCTGTAAACCAGCCAATGTTTTTTGTGAAGAATAAAATTACTTCTAACCACCTCTCCCCACAAATATATAAATATATAAAATATGGGAAAATCGGTGTAGGTAACCTGGCCACATTTTGAAGAAGCCATAATTTCCACGTTCCAGTGTCTTTTATTAAAATGCAAGATACATTCTTTATTACAATTTGAAAGAATTTAGAAAGACAAAAATAATACAAAGAAAGGAACTGGCATTATACATTCTTTTCAGCAATACTTTTAACGGAACAAAATGCAAATCAAAAACAGTTAAGAGATTCCAACAACATAGTTGGGTTGGTTTACAGTTTGAACGTTGCTGAGGTCTGAGACATCCCATTGTAAATGTAGGTGTTATTAAATATTACAAATTGCCTGGTAACAATTTTCACAACTTCCTGAGCAGCAGCTCCTGTAAAACAGCCAGGGAATGACAAATTAAAAATATGTAACAGAAGCCAATTGATTCCAATCCAAATGCATATTTTCTAGTTCTACTTTTTTTTTAATCAGATGCCACCTTAGATCAATGGGTAGAAATAAAGCATGAATACTCTCATGATTGACTCAGCTCAATGGCCAATTGCCCTTTTTCCATGTTAAATCTCTGGCAGGTTCAGTTAAAAAATCCTGGCACGAGTTTTTCCTGGCACAACTTTGTCCATAATCTGAATTTTTCAGTTGAGACCTCTTATACAACCTATCAACAACAAGAGAAGCGGGGTAATAGGTACTGGAAAATTTGATTACCAATTTTGTTCTCTAAGAAATTATGGTAGGGTCTTCATTATTTTCGTTAGCAATTTGTGATTCCAAATTCATCTTAGTTGATCCTCCCAATTAAAATTCAAACAGGGCAATTTAATCTGGGGAGTTTTACGTGTCTCTAAGATTAGCTTACTAAAAAGCAGAGGCATCACCCTGCCAACAAAAGTGCGTATAGTCAAGGCTATGGTTTTCCCAGTTGCAATGTATGGCTATGAAAGTTGGACCATAAGGAAGGCTGAGCATCAAAGAATTGAGGCCTTTGAACTATGGTGCTGGAGAAGACTCCTGAGAGTCCCTTGGACTACAAGGCGATCAAACCGGTCAGTCCTAGAGATCAACCCTGACTGCTCATTAGAAGGCCAGATCCTGAAGATGAAACTGAAATACTTCAGCCACCTAATGAGAAGGAAGGACTCACAGGAGAAGAGCCTAATGCTGAGAAAGATTGAGGGCAAAAGAAGAAGGGGACGACAGAGAACGAGGTGGCTGGATGGAGTCACTGAAGCAGTTGGCGTGAGTTTAAATGGACTCCAGAGGATGGTAGAGGACAGGAAGGCCTGGAGGAACGTTGTCCATGGGGTCGCGATGGGTCGGACACGACTTTGCAACCAACAACAATGGACATGAGAATACAAAGTACTATCAAAGTAAGACACACTAAATCTTTTTGCATGTCAATTGGCTTATGTACACATGAAAAAAGCAATCTTTTTACCTCCTAGAAATGCTGCTATGGTGTGTGGCTCGGCAGCTCCGTACCGACAACTACAAAAGGAAAATAAAGTTGCCATATTATAATGCATCTTAAGAAGATCTTGGAAAGTATTTTTGCAAGTTAATACTTACAACTCATGGACATAATCATCTTTGACCGTTACAGGCAATCCATATTCCTGAAGAAAACTATTAAGGCAAGATTTCAGTTTTCCAATGTCATCCTCCACTTGATAGTTATAAACCCCTGAAAAGAAGATAAGATTATTATAGACAGAACTAACATTTTATTGCAAGTAAATGAAATATAATTTTGTTAGAAAAGAGAATACGCTATCCCATAGAAAAATATACTAAGCAGAAAAGTAACATCTTTTACTAAGCCTTTAAAGTACATTAGAATTTTCAAACATACTCACTTATGATATATATAGTAAATATTAAAAACTTCAATATGTGACACATTTATAAATTTGAACAGAGATACAGAAATTACAGTATTACCAAAAGTATTCATTTTTATCTCAGAAAGCATATGATATATTGAAAACAACCTTACCAGGGTATCTACCATTGTGTTTAAAAAATCTGTCCACAGCTCGTAACATGAGGTACAGCACCATTTCACTATCTGGATTATCCATATGGGAAGCTTCAAGTAA